TCAGCGAGCTTGACCACCCGATCCCGTTAGTCGCCTCTTACGACAAATATAGTCACCTCTTACAAAAAGCATAGTCGCGGCTTGGTTTTAATTCCCTACATTGGTACATGTGAAACCCTTTTCTGATAACAGCCCCCCCCAAAAAAGGTATCTTGGAAATCATTAAACCATTTTTAATTGACTTGGTAAGATTGTAATTCAGTGAATCAATGTTGTTAATGTTACACATTAAATATTCAAACTACACCATTTTACAGTAAATTAGCATGCCAGGGTCAGGCCAATTAAGTGATAAATGGCTTAAAAAGCCATTAGCATAATCAACATTGTTGAGGTACAATGACACACTGACAGTATCATACATGGTAAAATAGTTTGCAAAACATTGTTAAAAAAAATCACAGAAATAACTCAGGAGACAAGTCTATTTCTGTGAATGGACAAGCAAATGGGGGCTATAGGTCTTCAACATTCCTGTCGCACTTAAAAAAGAAGACACAAGCTAGCGTTATTGCCAAAATGCTGTTGTAAAGGCTGTTGATGCATCTGATGACTGCAACTGGTAGCTAACCACAAGTCCAGCCCAAATGTCAGTGAAACCAATACTGCATGGTTCGAAGCATGGCACTGCAGGATCCAATTGTAATTATCATTAACATTCCACATCACTGCCTAAAACACTGTTAACAGCCAGACAACACTGAACACACACTACAGTGGGCCATGCTGGAAGAGTGTGCACTATGTTAACACAGGCACATGCTTAAGCCATTTAAATAGTGATCAGGAAAACATCAGCAGGGCAGTACATGTATTATCTCCATACAGGCCAGCTTAATCAATGGCAACAATGTAATACAGCTGTCAGTCTCCTGATCAACTGTTGTATAATGTATCAGTGTTTTCACACTGAGGGGGAGTGTTATGAAGAGTAATGTTACCAGCTGCAATATGTCAAAGGCATAGCATAGCAGTTTTCATCAATGGATGGGCGACGATCATGGTGCACACATTCCCTCTTTCATAAGCACACTGAATATTTTTACTTTGAAAGATTTATTGGTTATCAGGTATATTCAGTGTTAACATGTTACACCCTGTGGCGATTCTGGGTTAGACTAGGTCCCAAGCAACCTATGCTGGTCGTAGTGGCCAAATGGATCGGGTGGTCAGGCTCGATGACTTGGTTGGTTGCATGTGATCATACCCTAACAGCATGGATCATCACTCATAATATCAAAGACACGATGTCGAGGACACCTTGAAAAAAAACCTGCACGCACGCATGTACGTATGCACACACACACACACTACGCAAGCACGTGTGCACAAGACAATAGTCTGATGCATTATGCCGCAGTCAGCAGAATTGCAGCTGTACAAAGGTGTCCTGTAAATCATCAAATCTCCTACAAAAAGCATAGATTGCTGGGAACCTATTCTAACCCAGAATTGTCGCAAGGTACAACACAATAGCTAACTCATCTGGCATGTATTGTGTAAGAACTTCTATCAAACATCTTTTAGAGAATTCTGGTATCGACTTGTCACACCAATCTCTTAATAGTCTTGTGAGCAACACATGTCCACGGGGGCATAGTCAATTTCACCGCATGACCTGCACATGCACAACATGCGAACACCTATTTTACCTGTAACAAACGAGATATGTTTGCCCAAATTCTCTGCACCGCCTACTTGTCTCAAACACGTTTTGTGGGTTGGTTCAACTTATCCTGGATTACTATCAGAAGAATAGGACGAGACCTAAAGGACTGCAGGACCCCCTAAATTTCACTGTTATAAATAACAGTATTGAACATCGTGGGACAAAGAGGGTTTTCCCAGGGCAAAATAAGAAAGTTAAAAGTTAAAAGACACCCAGAAACAGTCATCCAATTTTAACTCCATATGGTCCATAGCATAGATTCTAGATATTAGCAACATTTTTTAAACAGCTAAACAGACCTAAATAACGAACCCCCAATGCATGGGGTGGTATGTTATCCCTGATTCCTAACTGAGCTGAACACAAGGTGTGTCTTTCTTCAATGACTTGGTAAAGAAATGTCGGCTCAACCATAGAAATCACATCACTGAAGTCCTAACATGTGGTGTTGATTTTGCTCCCTCTAACACTAAGGCCTTCAGTCTGTCTGTAGTAGTGTATGGGGGTCATCACTGTTGCCACATCAGTTGACACAGGTGGACCATGACGGGGGAAATGTATGTTTTGTGCGAGAAAGCTTGTGAACAAATACCACTAGGGCTTGTGAAGTAAAACAAGCTGATAAAAAAACAAAAACCTTTCTAAGGTGTGTAACTTGCTGCACACAAGGCACAGAGTTATATAAAGCCTATAATTATCATCACCCCCATAGTTTTACAAAGATTTACAATATTCCAAGTCCTGAAATGTCTTTGTACAAACTGTTCAGGTCACAGCATTCACCTATTTTCAAACTTGTCTGCCATTGTAACCACATAGTCCTGTTTTTAGTCGATTCTTAAGTAAATCTTTTGATTGTTTTATGTTGCAGCAATATTCCATCGATATGCCAGCAATACCCACCATTAACTTGAAAAATGCTAGATAAACAAGGTATTAAAAATATGGACCAACTTAACATACTTAATATGGCTCATTAATGCAGATTTTTGAAAAAGCTAAACAGACATAAATAACCCACCCCCAATGCATGGGGTAGTTTGTTATCCCTGATTCCTAACTGACCTGAACACAACATGCACAAGGTGTGCCTTTCTTCAGCGACTTGGTAAACATAATTTTCTTGTCACATCACAATGTTTCCATTATGAGTCACCATATTCCACTGGGGGTCTCAAGACCAACATACCAATATTTCACTGAAAATACGCTTGGTAACTTGCGAACTCAAAATGATAAATTTGTAACAGGTGTCCCTAGAGGAGTATACAGGATTTCACAAGCTGAACATTCGTGTGCACCTTCGACCTTCAGTCTCGAGGTGTACAAGTTCATTCTGCTCAAACTCCCATTCATCCTGGTGTTGACACAAGTAAATCATCCCAGTCTCGTCCTGACATGCCATCTATACCGAGGTGGATGTCTATGGAAACATTGTAGAGGAGTTTGTTTGTTTGTTCAAGTTGCGCAGTGATTATGAAAACAATCATGTGCAGGTGTAACCAAAGTGTCATTAAGACACAGATTATGTAAATCTTTTATTAGCTTTAGTTTTATGTGGTAAACACACTTTAAAAAGTTAAATACTATTCACAATACTTATATTTAACTGTAAACACTTAGATTAGATGCTATTCACACAAAGTACTGACACAGAATGTGAATTCCTAATATTCCTCTGCAGTAGTGAGTTTGATTTTACGCCGCTTTTAGTAATATTCCAGCAATATCGCTTTCAAGACAGGTAATCAACAGAAATTCTCTGGTGCTTGGATGCTGTATCATCAAATTTTCGAAATTGAGGAGCAGCTTTCAATTTAATTTTTGTTTTGTACTTAAGTCTTTATTGTTTGAGACCATGTACTTTCCTACACTGCAATATGATATATAAGCTTTAATAGTTTATGCATACTTGATATATGCAGTATGTTTGTATTACTAGAGTGAATGTGTGAGTGAGAAGGATATTATTTTCTGTAAAAGAAACGCCAAACTAATATGTATTGATAAGTTGTACTTTATGTCATGAACTTTCTGCTTCCTGGGCAGACACATGGCAGAAGCACATTTTATGTAAGAGGTACTTCTTTTTAAAAACAATAAAAGAAAAAACAACAACATTGTACCCATCCTCTGCAGTAAAGGTGAGTGTGGCAGGATAGTAGTGCACCTAGTTGCGAAGTAAAATAAAATGTGAAGAGGCCAATGTTTTTTTACTTGTACGGTTGAAGTCAGTCATCTAGAATCTAAGATAACATTCACAGAAAAATGTACGTGCTCCCAATACCAATCAGATGACATCCTTAACTCAAAGTGCCAGATACGATAAAAGCAGAGTGCCCATATAGGTCATGCAATGTACTGGATATAATGATATACCATAATAATTGTGTACATGTATTACCATGACTTCTCCATAAATAAGGTAACCAATACAAATATACAATTACCAATACAAACATAAGATCAAGGCTCCAGATAATTGGTACTTCTTATTTTAATTTTGGAGTACTTGCAAAACTAAAGAGTACACTTAGAGTACTGAATGGGATTTAATGGATTAATCTTGCATTCCTATTTTGTGTAAACAGGTCAATAAATACTTACTTTCTTTTTGTACACGTCTCTTATATAATGCGCGCCCAACTCTAGGATATTCAGATATTCAGAGGAGAATCTAGTATCTTTGCTCATGGTAATGTCTTTGCATTGGGGGAAAAAAACATCAAAACGCTTATGACGGTTATAATGTGCGGGAAATAATTTTGGGGAAATACATCTTCTAATGAATGTTAGACCATACATGTTTGCTGTGATGCGTATCTGATACGTTTTCTAAATTTTCCCCCACCATATCATTTATATTTTCATCCGTACATATGCTGATACAGCCTTTATCTGGAGCCCTGAAATATTTCAGAAAAGACTTGTTCACGACAATGCAGCAATAGTTCAGGTATCACAAGGCCTAGTAGAAATTGGCCCTTTTTAAGGGTTTTGCTATATGTTATCTTCATAAGGACTAGTGGACGAAAACTGTTGGTTTCTACTGCTGCAATGTAACAGTTTGTTTTGTTATTAACTGTATCTATCAACCAACATCAATCATAAAATTAAAATAAACCAAAATAAGGAACTCTGAAAAATTATCTGTCTGTGGCATGAAGTAGCATCATGTTGAGGAAAGAAATCAAATTTAAGTAATGAAGTTCAACTAAACTTGAGTGAAGACCATAAAACAAGCACATTTCATTAAGTCCCTCGAAGCAGTCCCAGTGGCAGGCTGCTCAATTTGCACAATAACCAGAGAATGCCCACGGCCAGGTCTCACCTTTTAATGATGTCTCAACCCGAGACTTCTGCTCTGACAAAACTGAAAGCACATTTAGTTCTGTACATGTCTTGAATCGGCAACATATTTTCTTATAATACACCTGTAAATATTCACTACAGGAAATATCTTAAGAGGTGAGGTGAGATGGGGCTTAATGTTGTGTGTCTGTGTGCGTGTGACTTGAGCCAGTTTTTTGTGCTAGCCAGTTTTATAGTGCATGCTGCATTTTAACATGGACACCCTAGTAATTGTATTATCCCTTGATGTTGGGCACCAGGCAGAAACTACATCTTATACTGCATGTACAGCGATCAAGGTATCTGCATAGAGCAATAGGCTTGATCCTGGTGAACATGACACAAGCATTCCCCTCAATCTTTTGAGACCAACTGTCTTTTTCTCATGGCGACAGTCAGGCATTTTCATGAGTGTCTTGGCAAAAGTGTGATTAACAATGTTCAGAACAGTGAAAACTTTCCTAATAATCACTTCTGAACATGCTCGTTTCAGGGCTACAAATATTGTGAGTCTTTGTTGAGGTATTGGGGTTATGACAGTCGTTGTGCTACAATCGCTTCATGAGGCCCGAGTGTGAATTTAGAGGGGCACTCGTCTCTTTGAAGTTTTCTGCCACGGTATTTTAATTTAAGCATTCCCTAAATCTTAGACATTTAGCAAGAAGGTTACAACTAAGACCCTATGAGTTGGGAAGTGAGCCCAAAGTGATGCAGATCTTGGGCTGGGACGAGTCCAAATTTACTACCTGGGTACCCAACCCTCCCCATGTAGCCACTTTACGGTACAAAATGTCCGATTGGGAACTGTTTCATCGGAATTCTCACAAAAATTATTTAGCTACACTTACAAAATGATCTGATCATGCATACACCATGTACACTGAAGTTGATTGAATGTTTATCTTTATTCAAACATATAAAAGTCAAGGATTGTGTGCACAGTCCAAATGTCATCAACAATATATCACCACGGGGCCAGGTGGTTCTGATGGTACAACTACAAGCTACATAACAGCAGCCTGTGAATTCTGAGCCAGACAATCCTGTGATCGATATTGTGAGTTGTGGTATGATGACATGTAACCATGGTAACCAATCAAGTCACCCAGCCTGACCATCTGATCCATTTGGTCACTACGACCAGCATAGGTTGCTTGTGACCTATTCCAACCAGGAATGCCCATGGCGTCGGTCAGTAATATTCCTGTGGCATCCATCTTCCAGTAGGACCAGGCAAACTACTGGTCCACAGCATCATGGAATTTGCACACGAGGCAATATCTTCATCAGCTGATGAACTTCAACAAATACAACTTCAATCCTTAACAACTTTCATTTTCATGATCATCATGACACGGGCATAAACATTCTGAATGATGATGGACGGTGCTGATAGATGTACAGTGCTTCCCATGAACCCAGCATTGACAGGTCACAAGTGTGCACCATGTGCACTGCCAAGTCGGCAGCTTTGATGATGTCACCTCTCAAATTTGCTTGAACTGACAATCGTCCCGTTTACCATCAAATGTAATATTGAGGTAAGTGTATCATTGCACCCCAAGCATTGGAGGTCAAGTTTGCATAACAGTGAGAGAGTGAATTGGGTTAAATGCCACTTTGAACAGTATTCCAGTTATTATGTCACAGCATGTCAGAGTAATCTCGGAGGACAGCCTGAAGTGATGCAGGTCTCAGACATTTATCACTTTGGTATAGTTTAAACCAAGAGCACAGAAATGGTGCAGACAAACCTAGAAACATTGGTAAGAACCGGGATTCAGACCCACAATCATTGGTATCTGGCATGCCCAAAGGACAAGATTCTGCACAGTGAATGACAGGTCTATCCATGGCCCCTATTGCATAACAGTAGCAATTCGGGTATTTCTACAGCTTGTTATCAACAACATCTATCAAACACGATCGTCAAACAAGTCTTTAGACTGGAGAAATGTTTTACATCTTTTATGGGACCTGTAGTATTTCCCTCAAACATGTCAAATGCCTTATGCTTCAATCTTAATCCAATTTTATTGTTGACGCTGTGCATTTAAGTGATGGCGTCACGTTATCACTGATGTAATCCCATTTACAAGTCACACTGGTTAAACCTCTGAATCAATTGCATAAAGAAGTCTTACTCTTAGGACATAATCACTGATTGTGCAAGCTTAGAAAAACTGACAGCCTTTTCATCTTTTTGTGAGGGAATGAGTTGGGTTTTACACCGCTTTTCGCAATATTCCAGCAATATCATGGCAGGGACACACCTGAAACGGGCTTCACATATTGTACCCATGTGGGGAATCGAACCTGGGCCTTTGGCATTATAAGCGAATCCTTCAACCACCGCACCCTTTTTTGTGTCACACATTCATCAATCCTTCAAAAATCTAAGTCCTATTAATTACATTTTGGGGTCAAATTAACACTTTAGCAACTCTGAAAACAAAACACATTGTAGATTGTGCAGGATAATAATCGCACTTCATGGAATGACAAAAGTATTGTGCAAACTAATAGTGAAAAAAATGTGACATGCAAATAAGTAATCTTCATCACATCAACAACGATTATATGAAAATATACATTCCTTAACACAACAAGGAACTGACAACTGTTTATTCACTATTAATTATTAACGTGTAAACAGTTCTGTTGTCTGTTGTGTACAGCTCGGATGAGTCATGAAAATCATACGCTGTTCATCTGCTGTGATTATGCAGATGGAGACAATCATAGGCAATTTATGATTAATGAACAAGCTTACCTTGCAATTGAGCAACTTTAGATTCATCAGACCGTCGGTATCTCTCTGCAGAAGCTTCTGCCTCGCGTAAGCGGCCTTGCGAAGAATTGTATAAATATAACAAATAAACACAACCTAATAACGTAGCAGCAATGACAATAAGCTTAACCGGTGGCCCTCCTCGCTTGTTCATTGTCTTTGCAATTTAAACTTCGCTTGAATTAGTAGACTTGGGTTGCCACCTCACACGTTTTGAGTTCTCCTCCAAATTGACACGGATAGTTTTATACTATTTTCCTGATGACGTATGATAGACGACAGGTGCGTGTTCGACCGTGACGATGGGTCGAAGCGTATTAGGCGCAGGTTGCTGAAATTTGTGGTTTCATGTGTGCACTGGGGAAGATAAATCATTTACTCTCCATGTAAATTATTAATGTAACTACAGCTTATGCGATGAATAAATATTATCTTAGGTTTGTTGTGATATTTTATGATGACTAGCTAGTTATTAAAGACAGGTTTTTACTTCTACCGAAAGATGATAATTTCACAGAATATGTGCATAACATGTTGAATGGTTCTTTTTAAGAACTGAAAGATACAAAGAATGTTTTTTTCACTGTCCGCTAAAAATAACGGAACCAAGACAAGTGAAAATCGAAACACAGAATTATCGCTTATACTTTTTTTCTGCAATATTATGGAGAGGTGTGAGTTTCTCGATTCAACCATATTCTGGGTATTTATTAAAGTATAGAATTTAGTTCATTCGGTCAACAGTCCATCATTAACTTTAATTTTTCAACAAAGCATGTGATGTAAAAAAATTACGTTCCTCCAAACTTATTTTCGAACGACATTGTTCGAATCAGCTGAAGACTGAAACATTTCTTGCAGTAGTTTTTAAGCACATACTCTCTATTTTCATGGACATGGCGACGTGTCGGGCTGTGTAATCGACTTCTGATGCATTTCTATCGCAAATCAAACATTTATTTCTCAGTGACAACTTAAAAAATAGAATACATTAAAGGGAAACATAAAATAAATAATTGCATACGTATGGTATGTATCCGTATATATCGAATAAGTACAGATAATCGTCAGTTGACGCTGTCTCTAAGGGAGGTAACTACTATGCCCACACCAAAGGGGAGTAATTTGCGCGGCCGCGCCTTTGAGTATTGGTTTACGGTCAACAGGTTCGACAGGTTCGACCACAAATTGGTGCGTCAAACATTATGACAATAAAGTAAAGTATTGCATGTTAATTATTCCTCTAGCTGCCTAAAATTATACATAAAATTTTGGTAGGTTGTTATTATGATATTTGCATTTTTTCATTCATTTGCTGTAGCATTGAACCAGAGACCATATAATAGATTATATGGTCTCTGATTGAACAGAATCATTCTTGTTCCTCTATGTCTTGGTTTGATGCGCGATAGACGTTGTTTTCACAAGTCTTTTCCTTTGCAAGCGTGTATATGTTACATTCAATGTGTAAAATGTGATTCACTCAGGCCATTTATAAAATGTCTAAATATTTCAGTTATTTTACATATTGACTAAAAAATCTGTCCATTTATTTAACAGATTAACTAAAAATGATTAAGATGTTCAAAAGGGCTTAAAAACGTCACAATAGATTGATTATTAATTACGCTATTGGATTAGAAGCCCAACAATATAGAAATGTAGTTTTAATCCTAACATTTTCACTTGGCGATGATGTTAAAACATAAAAATGTTTTGAATTCATTATCATAATAATACAGATGGGCATATTTTTCAGTCAATTTGTAAATAACTTTACATTTAGGCATTTAATAAATTGCCTAAGTGAAACGTTTACACATTTTGACTGTCAAAATATACGCACGATAAAATTAGCAATGCTCAGGTGAAATATTTACTTGTGTTGCAAGTCAAAATAGTGTAAACAAAATTGTACAATTACCAAGCAAGTGACTTCTCAAAACTTCGTCACCATTACCGATGCTACCCACAAAGATAACTGTATTTCCTTTTGTTGACCAATGTGACCATATGCCTTTATACTATCAATAAAAGGGACAAATGCGCTTACGAATGGCGCCGCACAGGTCGCGAACTTGTCTTGATTTCTGCCCTATCATCCGAGTACCCTCAATAACAAAGGCAACAACCAGTCCAGGGGAATTGCTTTAGATCAGTGCCCCTTAAATGCTTATGAATTACCGTATGCCTTATAATTTAGAAACTAACCTAGACTTTGTAAAATTGATATATAAATCTATAATTATAAATACACTGGACCCACTTCTACCATTCCTTCATTTTGAGTCCAGTTTGACTGACACAAGGTTTAAGATTGACATCAAATCCATTCACACTGTTCTGTCATGACTGAAACATGGTGACATCACCAGTACTGGACTCGCTCTTTATCCAGTGCAACTGAGTGAGTGAGTGAGTGAGTTAGTTGGGTTTAACGCCGCTTTTAACAGTATTCCAGTTATATCACGGCATGCCAGCTTAATGTGGGAGGAAAGCCCGAAGTGATGCAGGTCTAAGACGTTTACCACTTCGGTGAAACCCACGAGCACGGGTATGGTGCTGACAAACCTAGAAACATAATCGGGGCGAACCGGGATTCGAACCCACAATCATAGGTTTCTGGCGTGCCCAAGGGACGCAACTCTGCACAGGGAATCGCGGCGCCTTAGACGACTGGGCCACCCGTGCCCCCTAGTGCAACTGAGAATGTCTTGTACCATTAGGACTTACCTTCCCATATTAATAAGGAATTGTGTCTACAAGTTTGCATTGTCTACAAATTTTCAGCATCCAATATCAGTCTTCTGACTACCATATTCGACGTAATAAGCGCATTCTCTAATAAGCGCCCACAGCGATATTTGCTAATATATTGGCTAGTGAACAATCCCAATTAGCACCCCTTCTGATTGATCAATGTACACGAGACATATTTATTCGTGTATAATACACACTCATGTGTTATATGCTCCCTTAATTATGGGCAATTAAATTCTGGAAAATATATCTGTCGTGTATAATACGCACACACTTTTCTTTTGTATCATTTCAGGCTGTCAGCTTAAACCAAGAAATTTACCTTTCAACTCTGTTTTTCTCTCATTAAAATTATATTCTAAAAAGAGACCCCATATCAAGGAAACCCTTGTGCGAGGCCGTAATTTTATCTGCATTGCCCATCTCTCATTGAAAAGTCATTTTTGATTGCTTATTGATTTAAAGCCATCCAATCAAATAACACTCTTATGCAATATGATAAGAGATGAGTGAGTGAGGGAGTATGGTTTTACGCCGCTTTTAGCAATATTCCATCAATATCACGGCGGGGGACACCAGAAATGGGCTTCACACATTGTACCCATGTCGGGAATTGAACCCGGGTCTTCGGCGTGACGAGCGAACGCTTTAACCACAAGGCTACCCGACCGCCCTTATAAGAGATAAAGATTATGACATCACTTCCCAAATTATTGAAGTTACTGGGTCCGGGTTTTATCATTTTCCAATGGAGACTCCAGTATGATACAGTTGATAACCAAGGATGCAGGGATACATGTTCAGCAAGTTAGTTCCGAAAAATGATTTGTTATGGTGTCACTTTCAAACTGAACTGATTGAGAAATGACATGCTTGTTCATCCTGTAGCCAGCAATGTTGAAGCTGTTTCATGGCAACCTTTGAGAAATCAAGCCTGGATCAGATAAACTGGTAAACAATGCTGCTTGTAAGGGCCTTAGCCATCAGAGTATGATGTCACACTAATTCAGTTACTATCCATACTCTCCATGCAATCGCTGAAATAGTTGGCAAGTTTGGGGCCTACTTGACCCCACTGTGAAAAAAACAGAGAGATTTAACAGTCTGTTTAATGGTTTATTTCTTTATAAGAATTACAGTATGATTAGAATTTGAAGCATTTGCTTTGCTTGTAACAATCAACAAATAATATGCTTCTGGATAAAGGCAAGAAATATAGACAAACACCAATGCACATGTAAAGCTGGCTAATGCTTTCAACTTTGTCTCGACAGATGATTGGAAACAGTATATATTCACCATGTTCTCCATGAAACCAACAGTGAGTGAGTGAGTGAGTGAGTGAATGTTGTTTCATACCTCAGCAATATTCAAAGCATGTCATACCTGTAAATACTGGAGTCAGGGACAGGTACACCAGTGGTCAACAATCTAAGATGTCGGGGAACGATGACATTAAATCAACCAGGTCTCTCTTACAAGTACACGGTACTTGGGATGTACTCTGCCCAAGAATCCCCAGGTAGGACAAGCATGCGATACTAGGAACCTATTCTGCCCCAGAATCTCCAGGAAGGATTAGCATGGGGAAATATGGACCTGTTCTGCCCCAGAATCTCTAGGAAGGATTAGCATGGGGAAATATGGACCTATTCTGCCCCAGAATCTCTTGGAAGGATTAGCATGGGGAAATATGGACCTGTTCTGCCCCAGAATCTCTAGGAAGGATTAGCATGGGGAAATATGGACCTGTTCTACCCTGGAACCCTCAGTAAGGACAAGCCTGAGATACTACAGACCTATTCTGCTTAAGATTTCCAAGGTAGAGCATTTAGTACTATTAAACTATTATGCCCCGGAATCTCCAGGTCGGACAAGCATGGGGTACAAAACCTGTTCTGCCCCAGAATTACCAGGAAGAACAATCATTGGGTACTATGGACCCATCCTATCCCGGAATCACCAGGTGGAACAAGCATGTGGTTCTATGAAACCTATTATGCCCGAAATCTCCAGGTAGGACAAGCATGTAATAAGAGGGACTATTCTACCACAGAATCCCAGGCAGGACAAGCATGGGGAACTGGGGATCTTTTACTACCCTGGAATTACCAAGGAGTATGATACTAAGAAAACAGAAAGAGGATGAAGCTGTCTAGTTATGAGACAGGCAAGTCAAACTCAAGAAAGAACTTAGTCCTCACACAATTAAAGAAATTTAGAAAAAAATGAAGCACATTCTAAGATTAATCACCAATACTAATTTCTGAACACACTAAGGGAAATATTATTGAATATAAAAGCAAAAAAGTATTTGAAATGAAAGAGACACATTCTGTGGCTCCTTAGTATTTCACATAAACACATGAAGGCTGAAAGTTAAATAACTGTTAATCACAGTGAACAGAGTAGAGTTTTAAAGGCAATACCAATTTAAAATACCTTATGTTTGTTGGTGAACAGTATTAAAACTCACAAAGGAAGACCTGAAACGCTGACATCTGATTCTGAAAACGGCAAACAGTGCTATAGACAGGTGCTTGCACCTGGCACTGAATATTATTTTTTTTATTGTAGGGTGAGTGAGTGAGTATGGTTTTACGCCGCTTTTAGCAATATTCCAGCAATATCATGGCGGGGGACACCAGAAATGGGCCTCACACATTGTACCTATGTCGGGAATCGAACCAGGGTCTTTCGCGTGACGAGCGAACGCTTTAACCACTAGGCTACCCGACTGCCCCTTTATTGTAGGGAGGGTAGGTGGTTTGGGGGAGAGTCACTGAGCACTCACATAATTGTTCTGCAGTTATCAGCTTGATGAGGGAGGAAATCCTGAAGTGATGCAGCTCTAAGATGTTTACCACTTTATATATTATTTCACACAAAGAACCCATTTAAGCAATGATGCCAGGACCTCAAGTGGCATTAGCTAAACACATTCACAATTAGACAACTGCCATGATATAACTGGAATATTGCTATAAGTGGCACAAATACATAATTACTGATAAAACGAAATATATATATATATGAAAATTTAATAGTTCAATTTTGATTTGTACATAGAGAACTATGGTTCTGTTGATAGGCATGATTAATTTCACACTTAAATGTGGCTCTGTGTTGATAAAAATATTTCTTACTTTGTATTTTTCTACGATACTAACCTCATTTCCAGATTCTTCTAAACAAACACGCAATGCTACAGCTTGTACAAGACGTACCCACATATAAACTGACTTCTCTGAATACAGTGAAATCAGTGCCGTCCGCATTATCAGGGTTTCACATCACAGGTCATTGAACAACAAACATGAGTTAGGGAGTTTATAATGCTTATAGGTTTGAACACTATTCAGTCTGGCCCAAAAATTCAGGTCAGTATGTCAGAATTTCTTTTAAATAAAATTCCAACTTCAAATATATTTTTTCATTTCCTCAAAATGTTATGTGAGCGAGTTAAAATTTAATGCCACATCAACAGTTTCTCAGCCATATAGTGACACTGATAAGTAGGGAGGAAGAAAAAAGAAATAAAGAGGGGCAGAAGGAAGATATATTTTCAACAGGTCTTAATTATAAGTATTTTAAATTCTGGATCTATATTGACAGAAATATTAAATGAGGTGGGTTGTTTAACATTTGACATTTCTAGTCGGTTGAATATATATGAAAAAACGCTTTTTATTTTTTCACATATCAAGTTTTGTTTTGAAACACATGAGAGTGGACATGGTGCTGTCCAACAAAGGGTCTAAACCAGAACAGCTCTTAGATCTGTACAAAAAAATTCATCCAATCATCAGACATCTAAGGGACGCTACTCTGCTGCTAATTGCGATGCATGAGACCACAAAGAGATTTGTGCACCCACGTCCACCCTTGTTCAGCATACACAGAGGATTGTAAGCACAGCCTAAGTGCTGTATTATATGGTGCGAATGTCTCTGAAACCTTGCCTTATAAAAATGCTATGTTTGTTGAAAGCCCACATGATACATGAATACCGACTTGAACAAGAATATATGCTTTCCATACATGGCAGTACACAAATAAATGCAAAACTCACATCCATATTCTTGTGAATAATGAACAGGCAATGATAAATTCTAGGGTAGATGAAATGAAGTATGCATACATATGATTCTGACAGTAACCTCACACAAAACACTGGGTACCAACTACTATGACTGATGTAAGAGATTTTAGGAGTGCTTACTGAGGTTTCTTATAAGTTTTCGCCCAATTTCCTCATGATATTAGATGCTGAACAATTCCACACAAATGTAAAAGTAGTTTCATGGACTGGTCGTAAGTAGAGTGAAGGGTGGCCATTACACATTCAGATACAGATGAGACGCACAAAAAGAACACTTTCAAGTTTTCATGTGAGGTGCCTATGAGATATTCAACCTGGATAGCACTCTCAACCATATCCCAACACTCTCTTGTATCAGACCGAGGTACCCCATCCCAACCCTAGCCCTGGAGTGAACACCCTCTTTCGTATCAGACCGAGGTACCCCATCCCAACCCTTGTGCTGGAGTGAGCACCCTCTCTTGCATCAGACTAAGGTAACCCATCCCAACCCTAGCCCTGGAGTGAACACCCTCTTTCGTATCAGACCGAGGTACCCCATCCCAACCCTCAAGCTGGAGTGAACACTCTCACTCGTATCAGACCTAGGTACCCTGTCTCAACCCTTGTGCTGGGGTGAACACCCTCTTTCGTATCAAACTGAGGTACCCCATCCCAACCCTAGCCCTGGAGTGAACACCCTCACTTGTATCAGACCTAGATACCCTGTCTCAACCCTTGTGCTGGGGTGAACACCCTCTTTCGTATCAGACCGAGGTACCCCATCCCAACCCTCAAGCTGGAGCGAACACTCTCACTCGTATCAGACCTAGATACCCTGTCTCAACCCTTGTGCTGAAGTGAGCACTCTCTCGTATCAGACCGAGGTACCCCATCCCAACCCTCAAGCTGGAGTGAACACTCTCACTCGTATCAGACTGAGCTACCCCATCCCAACCCCAGTGCTGGACTGAGCACCCTCACTCGTATCAGACCCAGGTGGTACCCCATCCCAACCCTTGTGCTGAAGTGAGCACTCTCTCGTATCAGACCGAGGTACCCCATCCCAACCCTCAAGCTGGAGTGAACACTCTCACTCGTATCAGACCCAGGTAGCCCCCATCCCAACCCTAGTGCTGGGGTGAACACTCTCTCGTATCAGACTGAGCTACCCCATCCCAACCCCAGTGCTGGACTGAGCACCCTCACTCGTATCAGACCCAGGTACCCCATCCCAACCCTTGTGCTGGGGTGAACACTCTCTCGTATCAGACCGAGGTATCCCATCCCAACCCTCAAACTGGAGTGAACACTCTCACTCATATCAGACCTAGGGACCCTGTCCTAACACTAGTGCTGGGGTGAACACTCTCTCGTATCAGACCCAGGTACCCCATTCCAACCCTAGTGCTGGGGTGAACACTCTCTCGTATCAGACCCAGGTACCCCATTCCAACCCTAGTGCTGGGGTGAACACTCTCTCGTATCAGACCCAGGTACCCCATCCCAACCCTTGTGCTGGGGTGAACACTCTCTCGTATCAGACCCAGGTACCCCATCCCAACCTTCATGCTAGAGTGAACACTCTCACTCGTATCAGACCCAGGTACCCCATCTCAAAGTTCAGTTTTGTGCCACATATTATTGTGTGTCACCGCTATGGAGGTGAACATGTGGTGGAAATATCCATTTGAAAGCCAAAGCATAGTGATTTGGAGTTTTCTGTAAAATACTACATTTATGTTTGTTTTTAACAACTGTCACCCAAAATCATCCCCCTTTACTCTCTCACTGTTTTAAATAGTTTCCAATATGGAGGCTGTCAGTGATGACAATGATAACAAAAAATAAGCTATACAGTCGGATACAGGAACACAAAACTGTCATAAATGGATGTATGCTGAACATTTTCTTCAACATTCATATCAACATATCAAAAGCATTGTAAAAAAGACGGTAACATGATTATGAGAATAATGTACACAAAATCATCCATTATTTTGGTTACCATGACAGCTGTTGGTATGGTCACCACTCATACTATAATCACATGATATATACTGATAGAAAAAATAGCTTCACACAAATAGCAAACATATACACTGTACAAAGTGACCAGTTAGACATGAACAGATATCTTGGAGGTAACCATGCAGGGGCAATACATGTTTCAGCCAATCCACGTAGAACAATGGTGATGCCATTTGGTTTTTGTGACGTGGATTATAGACGTTATAAATTTGTTGTCAAAACAGAAAACATCATAACCAAACTGTTCAAGAAACAGGATTGTGCATACGAATATGTGTTCAACAACATGTTCTATACAGCTTCAGTTTATGATTTCACACTGTTGGCATGGAGTGATGACGAAAAGAGAGTGGATTTAACACTGCTTTGAACAGTATTTCAGTTATATCACAGCGTGTCAGCTATGTGGGAGGAAAGCCCAAAGTGACTCATGTCAGAGTTGTAGCCACTTTGCAAAAACCAGCAAGACTGGATTGATGCGGATCGATCAATGATCCTTTTTGCAGTGAATCACAGAACACCTTCCAGCAAAGGGACACAACTCTGTGTGTCGCTCCCGACAACTGGGCACTGCCCCTCAATGTCGGCAGTCATGCCTTTCTTCTACTGCACCAAGTGTCTCATGTCCAGCGACTGGACTGACACATTACTGGACATACATAATACTTCATTGTGTGCATCTTTCAAGCTTTAGAACAAAATAATTCCACCATGCATATCATTAGGAAACAATTCTTTGGTGAATTCAAAATAAAGCATCGCTCATAAAACATTCATTCTTGGACTTTTTTCACCAACTTTAAAAACAAATCTGACTCCATACAAGTGTACAATGGATGCTTTACCAAGGCCCACTTGCACTGAGCGATCTTAGCGCTAAGACTATCGTAAGCCAATGTTTAAGTATGGGAGTTATGATCATCTTAGCGCTGAACTGCAAAGGTCCAAGTCCAAGGTTGCCTCCAGAAGACAAGCCTTGCGTTCCAAAGTAGGACCCACATGATTACTCGGATAACCGGTTTCAGTTTCCTTAGAATTCCCAACTGGAAAAAACATGCACAAAACCAGTATTCGTAATACTAGTTTAATATAATTAATAATCATTTGCATGTTAATATCAATATCGTAACAAACAGATGGATTCACCATATAATAGTTAATAAAAGTCTCTCATTGACAAAATAAATTAAGTCCATGCGAACCAGGAAATAATGCAAGGAATATCAGTAAAGAATTACTCAGGAGCACATTGTAGTTTGGACAGCTGAACCTTGCACTGTACACAGATGAGGGTCGTGATGGGTTTTAATGCTTAACGTAAAACACACTTCAAACACTATCGTAAACTTAAAATTCATCTTTTTTTATCGTAAATGCTTATCGTAAAATACCCAAAAATAACTGCTTAACGTAAATGAATAATTTACTGCTTATTGTAAAATGATTAAAATGGTCAAAAACAGTCTGTCTTCAAGACCCAAATTCTTCGCCACAGAAAGCAGGCTGCGCAACTGACGCAGGGGACCAGTCTAGAATGTTAAGCAATTTGAGATTTTACCCGTTATTAAAAATATGTCAGGATGAAACGAAATGAGAATTAAAAGTCCCATGTCCTGCCATGGCTGATTTAAGAATTTTTTGCGATGATTTCATTGAAAAAGAAGAAAAATTACTGCTTAATGAAAAAGTACCCTAAATTTTACTGCTTACTGCTTATGGGACTCCCCCATCAGGACCCTCATAGATGTTTTGAAAATTGACATTATGAAAACAGTTAAGCAGATGCAAAATGGTTTCAACAAGACGAATAACCAGTTTAAGCTTTTTCAAACCATGACGTCCTTGTCCCAAGTCATGCAAGATGAAATACTCAAACTTATTTGAATGAATATGGATACATATCACTGACTAATTAGGGCTTATTTTTAATCATATAGTGGTACACATTCACACGTATGTACAGAAGCATAACAATCAAAATGGCACATGTTTTCATTATCACCCCAAAAAACGCAAGATCACATACTTTGGCTTATGAAAGCTGATGAAGGCAAACAAGCGATAACAAGCATTTAAGATATATCGGAAACTGAGTCGATTCTCAATCAACTTATTCATAACAAACATACAAAAGTGAACTGACCTGCGATACTCCATATAAACAAAGTTAATACTGCATATCAAAACATCAAAAAAACATAGAAAGAATATATCAAATTCTGATTAGAAAGATATCACATATATTTTTTTCATAAATGGAGATGACTTTTGTGTATCGTTGCAATTGGAGCCCATCATAATGCTTAGGGATCATCCTCACTAATGCAGGATATTGGCTGGAGAACTAACATCTCAGTCTCTTCATGGAACAGTGTTCTACTATTTTCATGTACATCCATCTCTAATGTGTGTACCATATTGGTTGTAAGAAGCCCCTGGTGCTTACAAAATTAAAAAGGGGCGCTCATTAATTAAAACCATACAAGTTAAATTTGTCGTCAGAGCTTGAGTTCAAACAACAATAAAGCTAAAACTTTGTTGATAATATACTCCTTCTATGGTGCTGTTAACAATGTGTAATGTATATAAGGATATACAGATTTATTTAAATTTTCAGCCTTTGCACATCCGCTTAATAACATTACTGATTGGAACAGAAGTTGGCCAGGGGTGCTTATTCGAGAGATGTGCTTAATATGTCAAACGTGGTATACATGTATATCATACCCCACCCATATCATAATTCATTATGAAATATTCAAGCAGGACGCCGAGAATGGGCTCAAACACTGTTCCACTTTGCAACCCCACAATGACCATACAAACAGATTTTAGAGCAGACAGTAATTTTCAAGTCAGTGAAGATGACTACATCAATGTGATAAATACCTCAGCTATTTTATTTTAGCCTGTTAATGTAATTGAGCCAGGACAAGACAAGTCTATTATCAATGGTGTGAGCAGTGGAGGATCTAAGCCAGATCATGCTGGAGGTTGTTTTTTCCTAATTGAAGTCCTATTTATTCAAGCAGTCCACTCATCATTAATGCCCGTATATTTAGCCAAATCTTCGGACAAAGGAAAATATTACTTGTGTTTCAAGCAACCCTACTGTACCATTGTTTCACTTGCAACCCAAATGTTTTTTTATCACATTTGGAAACAGCCGGCAAGACTTCCACACTGAACATTCAGAAAAAACCTGATGTCTTTACATCATTTCTTTGTTGGAGCAATTTCGACTTACAAATTCAACTAACATCAGTTCAAAACACGTCATCTGTGTAAATGTCTTGCACAGCAAGTGATGACTCTTTATCTGATTCTGTGATCCATAACTTGCCAGTTTTTACAAGTTAAATAATGTCAGAAAGACTTGACTGGAAGCAATGAAAGAATCAAGTTATGATAGCATTATTTCAATGAAGGACCTGATTGAAATACCAAATACCCAAGTAAATGAAATTACATGAGTATTTATGATAATATACTTATCCTGATACAACAAGAACACAGAAGCTAAAACGTGCCTCTCCGCCAGGTGGCGCTCTCCCCCCAGGTCACCAATCAGAGTGAACCCTCACTTTTCTCTGATTTGTTTGTTTGTTGTTTAATGCCGCACTCAGCAATATTCCAGCTGTATGACGGCAGTCTGTATATAATCGAGTCTGGACCAGACAATCCAGTGACTGACATCATGTACATTGACCCAGGCAATTGGGATACGATGACATGCATCAACCAAGTCAGCGAGCCTGACAACCCAATCCCATTAGTCGCCTCTTCACTTTTCTCTGAAAACTGCTGTAAAACTGGCCTTCAAGTCAGGTCTTTGAGCCATTGTATCAAGAAAAGAAATAATTTACAAGTGAGAGTATATCACACCTATTATGGCACATACCTTCACTTATATGAAGATGACTGCAACAAGGATGTCTCAACCCCAAAATGAGTGAGTTGTACTGATATTTATATTGAAATTATATCAGCAGGAAAGATTCTCTCATTGCTTCTCTGAGACGCTAACATCACTAAAGTAAAATGTTTAATGAGCTACAAACAATATATATATTGAAACAGTTTTCTTTTGAACAATCTGACAACTGTATCCAGTGTTGTTCAAGATACCAATGAAGACACTGACATATTCACATGGTTAATAAGTCCCCTTATAATGTAAACCAATAAAAACAAACAAAACAATTATATGTAAACAATCAACAACAAAACAAAGCATCAGATGCAAATTAAAGCGCAAAGACAGCAAGTTATATACAATTCACATATCAACAACAAATAAGACAACTGAACTTCATAAGCGCAAACATCTAACATTGTAAATTCTTATTATATATTTTTTAATTATATGGCACGAAATAGTTTCATTCCTGTTATTCCATCTCTATCCATGTTTTACGTACTTCTGCATAAAACATATTTCAGTGAACAGAATACATTGATTATATATAACTTGGAAATATATTAGTTAAAAAGGATAATAGCTATGATACAAATTTGTATGACATGACTGTGTTTAATGACAAATATGTCTTTAGTTAAACTTGTTTTTTTAAGCAGTCAATCTGCCCCTGGTTTACCCCAGACTCTGCATGTAGGAGACTGGGAGAGACAAACGATGTCACAGTTTCACCCACTGATACACTGGACAGAGACATGTGATCATCTTCAGTTTTGGCCACTGTATTGCAGAACAGATATTGTGATATACATCATATCAGGGACCTGATATTGTGATACACATCATATCAGGACCAGATATTGAGATATACACCATATCATAGACCAGATATTGTGATACACACCATATCATGGACCAGATATTGAGATATACAACATATCATGGACCAGATATTGTGATATACAACATATCATGGACCAGATATTGTGATACACATCGTATCATGGACCCGATATTGAGACATACACCATATCATGTACCAGATATTGTGATATACATCATATCATGGACCAGATATTGAGATATACAACATATCATGGACCAGATATTGAGATATACAACATATCATGGACCAGATATTGTGATATACAACATATCATGGACCAGATATTGTGATATACAACATATCATGGACCAGATATTGAGATATACATCATATCATGGACCAGATATTGTGATATACAACATATCATGGACCAGATATTGTGATATACAACATATCATGGACCAGATATTGTGAAACACATCATATCATGGACCAGATATTGTGATATACAACATATCATGGACCAGATATTGTGATACACAACATATCATGGACCAGATATTGTGATACACAACATATCATGGACCAGATATTGTGATACACAACATATCATGGACCAGATATTGTGATACACAACATATCATGGACCAGATATTGTGATACACAACATATCATGGACCAGATATTGTGATACACAACATATCATGGACCAGATATTGTGATACACATCATATCATGGACCAGATATTGTGATACACAACATATCATAGACCAGATATTGTGATACACATCATATCATGGACCAGATATTGTGATACACATCATATCATGGACCAGATATTGTGATACACACCATATCATGGACCAGATATTGTGATACACATCATATCATGGACCAGAAATTGTGATACACAACATATCATGGACCAGATATTGAGATATACAACATATCATGGACCAGAAATTGTGATACACATCATATCATGGACCAGATATTGTGATACACAACATATCATGGACCAGATATTGAGACATACAACTTATCATTGACCAGATATTGAGATATACACAATATCATGGACAAGATATTGATATATACATTATATCCTGGACCAGATATTGTGATACACAACATATCATGGACCAGATATTGAGACATACAACTTATCATTGACCAGATATTGAGATATACACCATATCATGGACCAGATATTGTGATACACATCATATCATGCACCAGATATGGTGATACACATCATATCATGGACCAGATATTGTGATACACAACATATCATGGACCAGATATTGTGATACACATCATATCATGCACCAGATATTGAGACATACACATCATATCATGCACCAGATATTGTGATACACATCATATCATGGACCAGATATTATACTTATCATACGGTGGACCACACATTATGACAGCAATCACATCATTGATCAGATGAATCGTACAGTAATGGAACAATGCTGCTGACTTATCAACAGTAAATAATAACACCTGGTTTAAATAAATGTGAGTTGGGTTTAATGACGATTTGAGTGGTATTCCAATTATATCACGGCAAGCCCGCTCAATCTGGGAGGAAATTCTGTGATGCAGGTCTCAGACGTTTACCACTTTGGTGAAACCCACGAGCACGGGTATGGTGCTGACAAACCAAGAAAAATATTCTGAGCGAAATAAAGCCAATGTTGGGGGTCATTATGGTACATATTACAGGTAAATATATACTTCCAACCCCAATTAGGCGCCTTCTATGACAAGCATAGGCTGCTCGGGATGTATATTCCATCCCGGTAGTCCTACAGCTCCAATGTTTATCATCTTAAAGTTACCATGGTTATGCACACACACACACACACACACACACACACACACACACATACATCTAACTTAACAGCATTTTACTTAAAGGACGGGTAAATTACAGGAGTTCCTAATAAAAATAGCATGGATAAATGTGTAAAATAGCACTAATCATTTGGGGTTCTTTCATCAATTACACATGTAACAAGACAGGATACTAAAACATTAATAGTAAGTTGGTTCATGGCACAAGTTAGCATGGGACCAGCCAGCCAACTGGTGAAGCAATGGTACACCTGTAGGGTTCCACAAGATCACCATGTTACCATGGTTTTGTTGGCTGACGTTGCATGATTGACATCGAAATTATGCATTTTATTATTTGGAAACAATCATTCAAGCAATGCATTATTCTTTCACAAAAAGTTACAAGGTACCTTGACAAAGGCTCAAATCAGCAGTAATCAAAACATAAGATCAATTGGAAAAAAAATCATGACTGAATTATGCAGGATGCCAGGAAGTTAATATCCAAAAGCTCATATATAGGAATTGCAACAAAGAAATGTAGGAATAACATAAGCATAATAATAGAGGTACATATTGATACATGGAAGTAAATACATCTTATACAGATCAAGAGTCCACTGTATGCTTATTAGGTTTAGAACAAAGAAGAAAAGTACAGGAATTTCTTTCATGCCTTTCTTGCTTATTGACAAAGCAGGTGCTTGCTTGTGGTATGCTCTGCAAGGACCTGCCAGGGCGTGCAAGAAAGAAACAAACCAACATGTGCTTTTAATTTTTTTAGAAATAATACCTGAAGGTTTTGCCATATCCTTCTTTGAGAATGAAAACATAAGGACTGAGTGAGTTGGGTTTAACGCCGCTTTTAACAGTATTGCAGTCATATTGCCGCGTGTCAGCTTAATTTGGGAGGAAAGCGCTAAGTGATGCAGGTCTCCGACATTTACCACTTCGGTGAAACCCACAAGCACTGGTATGGTGCTGACAAACCAAGCAACATAATCGGGGTGAACCGGGATTCGAACCAACAATCACAGGTTTCTGGCATGCCCAAGGGACGCAACTCTGGCCAGCGAATCGCGGCGCCTTAGAGGACTAGGCCACCTGTGCCCCCGAAAACATAAGGAAATATTGGTATTTTTGCACCTATAATTGTGGTAATGCCCTATAGATTTTGATTATATCAAATACAAATGCTAAGGATTTACTTTATGTGTTATATGTCTAATTACTGCCACTTTTCTTTGTCAAGCAACACGTCCTCTCAGAAGATATATTTGTGGAGACCGAGCAAGTTTGGTCCAAGTCGTTATCTGCTAGTTCCAAATTAATTATGTACCTGTGTATCATTTAAACAGTTAATGAGTTTTAAACCGAGACAATGTATGACACACGTTGAAAAAGGACACCTGAAATGTTGGCGTGCTTGTTGGAACAGTTTCAGCTACGTGGAGACCGAGCAAGTTTGGTCCAAGTAGTTATCTGCTAACTCCAAATTAATTATGTACCGGTGTATCAGTTAAACAGTTTTACCAATGTGTAACTGACGTTTTGATGAAGGACACCTGAAACGTAGGGATGCTTGTTGGAACAGTTTCAGCTACGTGGAGACCGAGCAAGTTTGGTCGAAGTAGTTATCTGCTAACTCCAAATTAATTTTGTACCGGTGTATCAGTTAAACAGTTTTACCAATGTGTAACTGACGTTTTGATGAAGGACACCTGAAATGTAGGCGTGCTTGTTGGAACAGTTTCAGCTACGTGGAGACCGAGCAAGTTTGGTCCAAGTAGTTATCTGCTAACTCCAAATTAATTATGTACCGGTGTATCAGTTAAACAGTTTTACCAATGTGTAACTGACGTTTTGATAAAGGACACCTGAAACGTAGGGATGCTTGTTGGAACAGGAAGTGTCAGGGACCTGGCATTCCCCTTAGTTCGCAAAAACAAACAGTGTATGGACATATTTGGGGGTATTTGTTGAATCACAGAGAGCCTGGCCCTACAGTTGTGACATGTCCCACATTCAAAGTATTTCGTGATTACCAGTACCTAGTGATTTTAAAAATATCAACAACACCAATATGATGCTCCACTTGACAACCACATTAAGCCAAATAAATCAGACATAGCAGACAATGTGCCAAGAAAATTGTAAGTATTGTCCTTTGTCCTTGAAATAAGATGTTTTGAAAATCAAAAAATTGTTGCGGCTAATGCCATTTCTTGGTTGTTGTTTTTTGGCCTCAAACTTCTGCCTTTGGAAACGACAAAAAAAATCTGTGATCAAACAAATAAACAAGCACTGACCAACCAATGAAGACATCATACACTGCAAGATTTACTTCATTTGGGATGATTTTTATAATAAATTTGTCCAAACATATCACATCAGTATCATTCGAACTTCTCAAGGATATCAGAGCCAACTCTGGAAATAAAACAGTACATTTTACACAGTAGCTTTTGTTAAAAAGCTTGATGGAGAACCAATAAGTTTCATATTGCACTTACCATGTTGATTTGATGATATATGCAAGCTAAACAACATTTTACATGAATGATCCTTTGACTAATTTGGCCTGTTCTTTTAATTTACTTGGTTTGTGGACCGAATTATTATCTCTGATAAGTTCGAATGATCTATATGATGATAAAATAATGAAATAAATAAATAAGTGACTTTGAATCAAGCAAAAGAGTTATCTCCCTTCCATTACAATTTATCAAGGTTGTTTCTTTATTTCTGAAATTTCTGACAACCTTAGTTCCTTTAATTCTTATTTTTTTAATTTCTTATTTGTGGTATTGTGGGATTGACAATCTGTAAGCAAAGTGAAAGTTAAAAAATACCTGCGTATCATGACCAAATAATCTCACAAAATACCGATGACAATGAACACAGAAATTGTTCTGTATCATTCCTGATTGAGCAGGCAACAAAACGGAGTATCTCACAAATACAAACAGGTTTCAACAAGTTCAAAACTCTTGCAAAAACAAAAATATATTTAGAAAATGCAACTTATGACATGCATGTAACCAAAGCTATGTTTATATGCCCTATTTATATTCACGACTATACATATGAAGGTCTTGTCCGTAACTGCCAGAGTTGCCTCCCATGACCGCATGAACTGGAGATCGAGGGTCATATTCTGACGGGACTTCCATTTGCCCTTGAAACCCCGGTGGAAGTGTGCGTAGAGCTGAAAGCTCGTTCTTGGCAGCAAAACGTGAATAATCGACTTCCGACAAGGCTTGGCCTGTGATGTATGCTTCTTTGATTGGTGGGCGGGGAGAGAAATGTCCATCTCTGTGCATGCTAGTTGAAAAAACATCCTTGCTTATGAATCGTGGGAAAACACCAGCGCGTTCAGCATCAAGATTTTCTTTCATCGGGTATCCTCGATAATCTGACTGAGTGTCCCGGACTTGATAGTCAGTGTCTCTGATTGGAGGAAAACTACCTTCCCGATTGGCTGAAAAAGTAGTATCTCTAACAGGTTGAAAGCTTGTCTCTCGAACTGATGAAAAGCTGTCCCGACTTTGTTGAAAGTCGCCCTCCTGCACAGCCTGGTATTCTGGATCTCTTGTGGCATGGAAATCTGATTCTCTGGACTGAAACTCTCCATCCCGAACAACTTGCTTGGAAGTGAAATCATTGTGGGTTGGCTGAGATGTGTCATAATCCAGCCTTGCGTAATCAACTTCGCGTTTAGGCAATTCTGATGTGAAGGTCTCTTGAGCAGGAGAATTAGAATTGAAGTCTCTCCCGGCATACCCTGGTGGCAGGTCGGCAGGCCGAGTGACAATCTGACTCTCTCTCCGCTCCACGTAGCTGAAGTCCTCCACATTGTTACCTACTGATTGCCCACCTGAAAACTTTTCATCAAAACTGGCCTGGTCTGCCCCTCCATCTTCTTTAGGTGCATCATCAGGATCATCAGCTTCTGCATCAGACGAGTCCTCATCTTTAGCTGGGTACAACTGTTGAGATGTTCCTGTCACCATTTCACTATATCTTTGGTTAATACTTGCAATTTGGTCATCAGTATAGTCCAATCCTTTGGATTTCCTGAACCGTGTTCTCTTCCGACCTCGTTTAAAGTTGACCGGAAATCCTTCTTTCTTGTTCTTTTTCTCATTCTCCAGGCTTTCTGGATGATCTGGGACAATCCCATGTTTTTTCAAATGCCAGTTTAGCGCTGCCCTCTGCCTACACTTATAGTCACATTCAGTACATTTAAAAGGCTTCTCATCATTGTGAATCCTCATATGAACAGTGAGGTGTTTCTTAGCATAGAAGCTTCGCTCACAGCCTTGCCACGGGCATGGGAACAGACGAAGCTTCAGATGAACCATGTTCACATGGGTAGCCATTGTCTTCCTAAATGCAAATTTCATTTCACAGCCTTCGTATGGACAGGCGTGTCGTTTGATTTTCAGATGCACTGTGTTATAATGGCGCTTGTACTGAGCGTCACTGGAAAATTTGCTTGCGCAGCCTTCAAAATCACACACAATGTTCTTCTCCTTGTGAGTAAGCATATGTTTCCGTAGGGAGTGCTTCAAGAAGTACTCATTTCCACACTGATCACACATGTAGGTTTTCATATTGGATTCCATTATGCCATGAGCATCCATCAAATGTTTCTGGACATTGACCACAAATCGGAACTGTTGCCCGCAGATGTGACACAGGGTGGTTCCCGGGATTGTCTGCTCATCCTGATGCTCCTTCCTCATGTGTCGCTTCAACTCCATGCGCGTCCGACCAGTAAAGAAACAATGATTACATTTGTGATTTGCAGGATGTTTTTTACTTTGGTGATGAGCAAGCGCCTGCAACGAATAAAATCTGTGAGTACACAGATTGCAGTCGATGACATAATGCGATTCCAAGTGTTCCTTGCCTTCCTCCTTGTTTGTGAAACTGTTATCACAAACAGTGCAACTGAAAACACCCGACTTCTTCATAAGTTTTGGCTTCTGTGAACGTGGAATTTGTTTCGGTTCTTCTTCAACAACACTATCCTTTCTGGTCTTTCTAGGTCTTCCTCTTGGAATTTTCTCCGGCTTTACCTCCACTTCTTCCTCAACCTCAGTCGACTCTTCAGCTGAGGTACTCACCCTCCTTCTCAGAGACCTTCGACTTTTCACAATGGCAGGTTTCGAATTCTGTCTCGACACCCTTCGAGATCGTCTTCTCCGTGGTTTCTCCTCTTCAACCGCTGGCATCCAATCACTATCAGAATCCCTCTTCCTCTTTGACCTTTTGGCATCTGACTCTGACTCACTGCCTTTCAGGAGCTTCTCAAGCTCTTCCTCGGACAGGAAGTCATTTCCTTCTTCTCCATCTGGGTCATCTTCCTCTTCAGTTTCATCCCCTGATAACTGATTCCTGTTTTCCTTTGCATCTAACGAGTCTCTTGACCCCAATCCCTCATTCTCCAACTCGTCTTGGTCCCATTTAAGTCGTTCGGCATCAAATCCTTCCAGTCCCGACTCCATATCACCTCTCTCGTGCGCAGCAATAGCCTCATTCTCATCCTCAAGATACCTTGAAACTCGAGATTTTGGCTGTTTTCTTCTTGATGACTTCTTGCTGTTGTACCCTTCAGGGTAGCCATTTTTGTTGGATTCTGATTTCTTCTCGTACACACTCTCACCAAGGTTCTCACTGATGTCCTCATACACAGAACAGTTGCTTGAGTCCCTGGTGTCTTGTGAATCCATGAGAGATGAGCTTCCGGACTGGGATGTGAGACTGCTTCGCATACCAGTCCCTGACATGGAGGCATTACGTTTCCTGAAGCAGAGCAAATATGGAATAGAATTTACATTTTTCAGTGAGTGAGTTGGGTTAACACCTCTTTGAACAATTATATCACGTTGTGTCAGCTGAAGATGTGCTGATAATCAGGGCGATTGTGGGATACGAACCCACAGTCATAGATCCCAAGCACATAACTCTGTACATGGAGCGCCTGAGACAACTGTGCCGCCCGTGCCCTTGTTAATACCAGGTTGTGCAGTTAGAGCTATATGGTCAGGTCAATCTCCAGCCTTTTGGTGAGAAAATGAGTGCGTGAGATAATGGAACATTTCAGCCATATCACAGCTGCCTGTCTGTACAAGGCAATTCACTTTTCTCAGCGTATCCTTCAGCGACAACTTTTATCATGTTTACATCAAGAGTTGCAGGGGGCATGGGTGGCCCAGTCGTCTGAGGCGCCACAATTCTCTGTGCAGAGTTGGGTCCCCTGGACATGCCAGGAACCTATGATCATGTGTATGAATCCCAGTTCACCTGATAATGTTCCTAGGTCTGTCAGCACCATACCCACAATCATGGGATCCTCCTAAGTGAAAACGTCTCAGACCTGCATCACTTCTGGCTCTCCTCCCACATTTACCTGACATGCAGTGATATAACTGGAATACTGTTCAAAGCAGCAATAAACCCAACTCACTCACTCACTCACTTAAGATTTACTTTTTACATTTGTGACAACTTCTTTTTTTATGTCCTTTCATCAATCTGAAAAGTCATGGCATCAAGCAAGAATGTCCTCTGATAACTCTTACAGTGTTTATTTGAGTGAAATCTTCCAACCACCATTAAATATTTTAATATTATCAGTTGTGAATGTCACTGTCTGTATGATCTTAATTTCATAAGAACCCCATGACATTTTTATGCCAGTATTTACCAGAACCTGTTAACCAGTATTAAAAAAGCAACATTTTGATCACTCATCAGTACACTAACCGTTGTTCAGATATGCGATTGCTGACTTTTCCTGTACTCGGCCTAGATACAAGCTCTTCATCTTTGATCTCATACCTGAAACAAATGTTTCAACAGTTACCATAGTTAAAAGTCTACGCATACAGTTCATCTGAGGCAGACACCTAACTTTCATCTCAGTCAGCCCAAGATAAATATCATGAAACATGAACACATTAGGCCTTTGCTTTTTATTACATGGTTTACAATTACAGATATTTCTCTCAAAACCATTGTGTGGTTAAATACGTAAAAATGAAAACAAATGTGACAAAACTGTAATTTCCTAAAGTGATATTTTTCCATGCTTTGGGTCAGATATGGCCAGAATGGTCAAATGGAAGAAACTATTAAATGAAAGGAACGTGCTGCTTGCACCATTTACAAGTTAGTTCCCCTCCGATACTGATTTACTGTATTCACTATATTAAACACCCAAGTTAAGTTTTCTGAGTGAGTGAGTATGGTTTTACGCCACTTTTAGCAATATTCCAGCAATATCACGGCGGGGGACACCAGAAATGGGCTTCACACATTGTACCCATGTCGGGATTCGAACCCGGGTCTTCCGCATGACGAGCAAACGCTTTAACCGCTAGGCTACCCGACTGCCCCTAATTTTTCTGAGATCCAGCAGGAAAAAAGTCAAAATTAGTTCAAATGTCAAGAAAACAAACTTTTTCGACAATAGTAACAAGGCATTTATTTACCTCTTCTGCACTGCTGTTTTTGTTGATACTTCAAAGACATACTATTATTGTGCCACAATGTCATGGAAACAGTATACAAGCTGGTATGTTGTGATGATGTAGTTATCCACATTCTGTCCCGAAACCTTCCCTTCTTGACATTTATTAAATAAACTACCAGATTGATTTAGAAATTCAGTTCTGATATCCCAAGTGTTATTGCAGCTACTAAAGTAATACAGCAGCATTAGGTACTGAAGCTCACCTTTTTTGCAAAAGTCATTCAAGGAATAATTTGTTTTTATTTGTTTGTTTGTTGTTTAACACTGTCCTCAGCAATATTCAAGCTGTATGACGGCGGTCTGTAAATAATCAAGTCTGGACAATCCAGTGATTGACATCATGAGTATAGATCCGCGCAATTGGGATCAACCAAGTCAGCGAGTATGACCATCTGATCATGTTAGTCGCCTCTTATGACAAGCATAGTTGCCTTTTACGGCAAGCATGGGTTGCTGAAGACCTATTCTAATCCGGATCTTCACGGGTCTGTTTTTAATTTACAGATGTACGCAACAATAATTAGATCTTTCAAACACTACACCACTGACAAAACGGATATTTGGTGTTCCATTTCTGAGTGCAAGTGGCCATTCGTTAATGTCTGTTATCAAGGTTAACCATGTTTCCTGTTAAAGGTGTCCTCCGGTGAGAGAGTGTGGTCTTATGCCGCTGTTAGCAATATTCAAGCAGTATCAAGGCATGGGACACCCAAAATGAGCTTCACACATTGTACCACTGTTCTCCAGATATGCAATGAGCTGCATATCACTTTCAAGATTTCCAATCTCATTAAATTCAGATCTTAGTTCTTGCTGACGCTAAAGATCTGAGGACATCCCATTACGGGTCACGTCAGACCGACCTTTCGCGAACTCTGACCAACCAATGGAATTACTGACAAGAAGTCGACATTAGCCAATCAGAAGGCAGCTTTCTCGTGTTTTACGGCACTAATTTCAAATTGGCAACTACGCTTCGAAACATATTTTGACAAATTCTCGCTTAAAAAATTGAAACCTGAACAAAAGAACATTCTTGAATGGCTAATATATGGTCTAGATTGTATAGATTCAGTCGTTAAGCATGTAACTATCGTTCGGAATACCCCGTTTTAAGGTTTTCGAGGCTGCATGATGAGATATCACATTCCGTCTGTCACTTTCATGATCTGGTAAGCGATGCTCTGATTGGTCGGATGAAAGGTCGTTCCGACGTGACCCCTAATGGGATGTCCTCAGATCTTTAGCGGCAGCAAGAACTAAGATCTGAATTTAATGAGATTGTCAAGATTTCATGCCTTGTTTCCATAGTACTGACAAACATTTTGCTAATTGGAAGTTTTTGAGAGGGACACAATGACTAACAGTAACAGACAAACTCTTTTCAATATCCTCAACCAACTTTGTTGTGGAGAAAATTAATATAAAAAGAAAACAAAGCCATGAAATAAAAGAATACACTTACAGGGATTTCTTGTTTCTGAACTTCTTTGCACTGAAAATATTCAAAATATGATATTCAGCCATGAAGCATGAATGAGCAAAATACAGAGTAAATGTTATTTTATACAGCAGTCAGCAATATTCCAGCTACAACAACGGTCTGAAAATAATCAAATCCATGGATGATCGTATTCCTACAGGTTTCTCAAAATTGTACAGTCCAGATTGACAGGATTTCACTATGAAGGATTTGAAAAAGTTCATAAACCCATCCTGCAATATTTTCACTTGCTGTTTTAAAATTGATAGAGTTTAATGTTTTCAGTTATTATTACCACTTTCTGTAATAGTGAGTGAGTGAGTATGGTTTTACGCCGCTTTTAGCAATATTCCAGCAATATCACGGTGGGGGACACCAGAAATGGGCTTCACACATTGTACCCATGTCGGGATTCGAACCCGGGTCTTCGGCGTGACGAGCGAACGCTTTAACCACTAGGCTACCCGACCGCCCAACTTTCTGTAATAACCGGAGTTGAGGATATATATGACAGTACAAATAATTCTCAGTTACTGCCATCTACATTCATCTCCACCCATTCAAAGTCACTCAACCATGAACATTTTGTTTTTGTGTTTTCCAGTCATACTGTCATCAAAGACGTATATAGATATACACGTATATACGTCTTTGCTGTCATCCATTCATTTTTGGACCATCATTTCGTCAACCCCACCATTCCTGATGAAAAAACAGCCATTACCCTCATAAAATGACTTTTGAAAATCAGTAAAGAGTAGCTTAAAAAAAATAAAAAAAATATGATTGTCTCCCTTTAAAAAATAGTTACCACTCTCCTCAGCATCACATGACACCATCATTAAACTCTCAGTAACAATCGCTGCCACCAGTGTGGAAGCGGCCATAACAAGGAGCTTGAAATTTGCCCTCAAACACCAAATGTGGTGACATTTATATTTTTGTGTATCGCTTTGATAATGCCATTACAGTGAATTATTACGACTGACTTACAATTTCCCAGATGAAAGTATGATTTGTTTGTTTAAACAGATTGGTTCGAGATTACAAACTAATGGAAAAGTTCCAAACTTCCCCCTTACATTCTTGCTACACCAATCACATGATGGCTGAAATGAAATAGAAATTTAAATTTGACAAACAATGAAAATAATCTAGCAGGGGGAATAGTATTTGGTGTCACGACAGTCATCAATGTTTATAAACATAATGGTCAGGCATTTGCGAGTTCAACTCCAAGCATCACCTAACACAGTCAGGAGCTATGACTGGTGGCAGCGACTGTATGGACAGCTCAGCAAATGGACTATCACTGTGAGGAACTTGAAAAGTTTCGAGACCTGCTGCTTTTATTTATTCAACAGACAGTTGCCATGTATGCTGTCTACTTATCATTATTATGACTATGAATGTATGAGAAATGAAAACGTATTTAGGTTATAATTTATCCTGCATATGTTATTGAAAACAAATAGATATGAAATTATATGATTGTACTCGCCCACTAGGACAAGTGTTTCTTCAGTACATCCTGCCACTAGTTAAAACGGGCAGACGAGTGGATTTTTCAAGCCCTGCTGTACCAACAATCTTATGAAGAAACTGACGATACACTACAGTTAAACAAAATCAAAAGTTGTCAATGTTATTATCATACTACAGTCTGTGACTGCCACAAGTAAGATGCATGCGATGAGAAAAAAGTATTTTTGTCTGCTCATACAGTATTTAAGTAATATACAGGTGTGTCAGCTTTGTCATTTAATGCCTTAGAAAATCAGTATTTTGTATGGTGCTGATAACCCAAACATCATAATTCAATGAGCGGATCTGGGCTTGGTACAGGCAAGGGATACAACTCTGCATAGGACACTTTGCCCCTGATGAGGAGTATTACCTTTCTTATTGAACTATATAACATAATATTATACAACAACAAAGACTAATTTCCCTTGATGCCATATTTTGTGTCAGAAAAGTTATACCTTCTTGTTCCGACAACTACTTAAAATGACCAAGCCAAATTACCATAACAAACGTTTTATACCTTCACAAACTTGTGATTCAGGAGTGTTTTTTATGTAATAGGGTAGGCAGTACTAAGCACCGAGCTCTAACTAACAAATGTAGTTCTATTTACAATCCCCTTTCATACATACTTTGTTTCTATGACTAAACATAAAGCCTATGTTTTCCACCTAATATTTCACTGGTTGGTTTTGACAAACAGTGTTCAAATCTGACCAGGCAAATGGTTTGTAAGAACCAAATCATTTGGTCCATTTTGGTGCTGGTCTGCTTTGACAGGTATGAATCTCATGACAGACACTGAACAGGCCTGTCTACATGCAATTTCAGTTACTTGGACTACACAAATAGCTCTCTAACTTGAAGGTATAAAGACACAATACATAGTTTGTCACCTGTCCATAACTGTACACATACGATACATGTATTAAAATGAATTTAGTTATATCTGCAATAGGGCTGGGAGGAGTCCAATTTTACTACCCGGGTCCCCACCCTCCTATTACCCGACCCTACCCGGGTACCCACTGTATGTCTCAGGAGATGTCTCAAAATGTCCGAATGGGAACATTTTTAGAATAGCCCTGGCAAAACGTATTTGGATACATGTATTAAACAACTTGGTCATTCATACACAGATGAATTAAGTTATATCTTTTTTCAACCATATGAAAAATCAGAAGGAATGGGTGCATAGTCAGAAAGAAATGCAAACATTAGTGACTTGTAGTGTAACCATAGAGTTCTAAATAACTTTTATCGATCATCAACATATCACGTGACTAACCACGGGTCCTGTGGGTACCCGGGTGCTACTTAGTACCCAACCGACCTGGGTACCCGAGTTACCCGTCCCAGCCCTAATCTGCAATATGCACTTTTCTTCATAGTAAATGCAAACTTGAAAACCCAAACACTGCTGGATTTCTGTAATACTGATTCAGCCTGTTAAAGGTAATTAATTTTGATGACAAGCAATGAAGTTATTGTAGTAACAGCTTAATGAACTTAAATATGTAAATCTTGGCCAAATGACAACATGTTTTTATCGTAGCATGGCCAGGAACTAAGTTCTTCTCAGACATAGTATGTGATCAGACAATAACGGGAATATAATTTAGGTCTCTTGCAAAATTTACTTTTTAAATTGCTTATTTTATTTCGTTTCCAGTGCAAATTATAACATCTTAATTCAATATAATGCAAGCGCGTTGTTGCATGCAGGTATAACCAAAATGCACGAATGGATTGTGATCTGACTGCAGAAATATAATGATCGAAACCCAAACAATCCCTGTTTATTTATAGAACTTCCACCTCAACCAGCGTACCAAATGTCAAGTAGCAACTTTGCCAGGGTGTCATTTCCACACTGCAAGTCTTCTTTCAACTCTATCCATCTGCTGTACTGTGCACCAATATCAATCACCGAATTTGCTTCCTTTACCGGTGCATTTGTGTCTGTCGGTACGGGTTCGGCAGGCGAAAGTTGTCCTTCCGCCGCCATATTGAATACCCTCGTTACTTCCGGTTGCGCAGGCGCCCTTAACTTTCAATTTTTCGGTGTCACTGACCTGGACCTGATTGCTGTTAATAACTTTTATATATTGTTCTTCATTTTAAAAGTATATGCGTTTTATATAATATATCATAATATCGTGAAACTGAAGAATATAATTTCCAGTTTATATACTACTTCAAAATTTACACATTTATTCTGTTTACGCCGAGCAGAGACCATATAATAGATTATATGGTCTCTGCGCCAAGTAATTAATACAATACATAAACCTTCGATTATGTCATGGAGGAGATGTAAAGGACAGACACGAAAACTTTAAAAGAATAAGTAAAGTGAAGATCGTTCATAAAAAAACCTTAAAGACTGATTTACTTTCAATACCTTCATGTGAAACACGTGCAGAAAAAAACCGTACGCTATTATACATACACTACAGTAGAAGTTTTTGAGAATCAACCACACTGTGAGTGCTCAGTAGATAAACAAATCAGAATTCATTTGAATGATAATTAAACTAATTTGGTTTGTCACCTATCGTAAATTCTAAATCCTTATTTTCAATTGAAAGTTGAACAGCAATATTGTTACACATCGGCTTTCATCTCCGAGCACTGAACAGCACTTGTTACGTATATTTGGGACCCGTGAAGATCCGGGGTAGAATAGGTCCTCAACAACCCATGCTTGCCGTTAAAGGCGACCATGCTTGTCATAAGAGGCGATTAATGGGATCGGGTGGTCAGACTCGCTGGCTTGGTTGATGCATGTCATCGATCCCAATTGCGTGGACCGATGCTCATGATGTCAATCACTGGATTGTCTGGTCCAGGCTTGATTATTTACAGACCGCCGTCATATAGATTGAATATTGCTCAGTGCGGCGTTAAACAACAAACAAACAAACATATATTTGGTCCTGTTTCGTGCAGCGCCCAAAAACTCTTCAGTGCCCCTTTTCGTTATAAGGGTCGACTAAAAAGGATCTGGTGATTACAAAGTGTGACCTATCAAAGCTTTCCATCATTGGCTTGCTCGGCCGAGATTTCTTTAGGCTTTGTATTCTATGTGGAAAATTGCTGTAGTCAGCATGATTCATTCACTCGCATGGTGTTTTGTAGACAAGAACATAACCTTATTGTTAGAATATAGCGTCTGTTGCAGTAGAAATACGTATATATGATTTCGAATATCTGAGTTTATATAGATCCTAGATCGCTGGGTGTGTAAGAACTGGTCCTCAGCAACCGATGCTTGTCTTAATTGATCAGGTGGTCAGGCCCAGCGACCTAAATTGGTTAACCTTGAACCACGACAGCGTAGATATTGTGGCTCACGATATCAATCTCTGGATTATCTGGTCCAGACTCAATTATTGACATGCCGCTTTCATAGTAGCTGGAATATTGCGAAGTGCGGCGTTAAACAACAATCTCAGTAAACTGAAACAAATAATGAAGGATAACGCAACCACCTAACTTTTTCTTTTTATGTCGCGTATGTAGATTCTGTCAGTATCCGTTGTCTGTGTTTGCGTGTAGACTATGTGCGGAGTCTGTGTATGTATTTGTGTTTCTCCCCAAGCTGTGTATATATGTTCTTTTATGTAATCTGCGAATGGTGGCTGAAAAGGTCTGCGCTTTGCTTTTGTTTGTTTGATGTTTAACGCCGCAATTAGCAATATTCCAGCTATATGAGGGCGGTCTGTAAATAATCGAGTCTGGACCAGACAATCCAGTGATTGATATCATGAGCATCGATCCGAGCAATTGGGATCGATGACGTGCATCAACCAATTCAGCGAGCCTGACCAACCGATCCCGTTAGTCGCCTCTTACGACGAGTATAGACACCTCTGCGCTTACCGGTATACCGGTATACGAAGGATGTATAGTACCTTACATGTATTAAGCACAACACTTTCCATGCCCATAGGCTGCACTTGAACCAAATACACGACCAGGCATTAAAGTGACAAGGTATTCTCCGTTGATGACAAAGGATAAAATTGACTATCATGCTGGCATAAAGTTTCATCAAAAGAAACGGCCATCCACGTGGACATGGTGTCAACACAAGGGGATGATGCCCCTACCTTCGCTGTTAAGATGTTGGCAGCGGAGTTCAAGAGGGGAAGAGAGAGCCTCGAAGATGATCCAAGAACAGGACGACATTCAACTGTTACCTGAGGAAAATGTTGATAAAATGTTGATTATGTTTATGAATGATTGACGACTCACCACACGTCACACAGCCAATGTAGTAGCCATTTCTAATGAGAGAGTTGAGAACATTCCGGGGAATGAAGTGGGCATGACATCGTTTTCCGCAAGGTTTCTGACACCTTATTTGGAAAGAACTCCAATTTATGTCGTTTTGAAGCTGATTTTTGTAGCGATTTGTAACCATTGGTTTTGGGTTCTCCAGTATCAGCAAGAGAAAAAAGGTTTTACCACAAAATAACACTCTAAGCAGTGAAAACATCTAATGTTTCCACCCTAGAAGGCAAAGTCTGTTCCATCAGCATAAGGTGAGGGCTTCGGATTTCTGGGATTCCAAAGGAATCCTACAGGTGGACTACCTCCCGAAGGGTCATTCCAATAACGGCCAATATTATACTGATCTGCCCCGACAACTTCGTGAGAACATCAACGTCGTGGAAAGCACACTAAAGGTGTGTTGTTCCACCAGAACACATTGAACATCGTCCGTATTCGCTGGATCTGGCATTGTCAGATTTCCATCTGTTCCCGTACGTGAAGAATGTCATGTCTGGCAAGCATTATGCAAATGATGCACTTCTGCGATGGAGGGCTTTTATACCACCACGAGAAAGCCATGTAGACCAACCAGACCATCAAAACTAGGCTCGGAACTTTTCAGCCACCCATACTGCATGTGTAGGTTTGTTGTGTGTTTTTGGAATTAATCTATCAACACTCCCTCAGGTTAGTGAGTTGGACGGTTGCTTTGAACAGTGGGTAAGCTGACTGTGAGAGGAAAGCCATAAGTGATAAAGATCTCAGACTTCTACGGGGGTTTTGCCTAGTGGTTAAAGGGTTCCTCAAGCTAAAGACCTGTGCTCAGTTCCCACCAGAGGTACAACGTGTGAAGCCCATTTCTCGTGTCACCTGCAGTGATATTGCTGGAATATTGCTAAAAGTGGTGTAAAATTATATTCCCTCACTCACTCAATTTACCAGGGATACGGTGCTGACCAGCCTAGAAACACAAGTTAAAGAGCCTGACAACCCGATTCCCACTTTAGTCGGCTCTTCAGGGATTCCCACTTTAGTCGGCTCTTCAGGGGGTTCCTTCAAATCAGAGACAGAATTATTCATTGTTGTTAAACATAGTATCAAGTAATATTATAGTTATATGATGGCCAGCTGTATTTTGTGGGCTCAGTATAAGCTGAAACCCGGTGTGCACACATGAAATTCCACATAACTTTACTTGCTAAAATGGTAGGTCAATTCTTAAATATATGACTAAGGTCATATTTCCTATCTCCTTGGCTTCGGTGTCTTTTTTCAAACCAAGATTTGGCGCCAGCCATTTGCTCCCAAAACAGGCCATGACGTTGGGTAGTTATTTTGCTGGAATATTGATAACTGATCGAAAAACAACATTCACTCAATCTTTGAGAGTTGGTCTCCCCAATATTCCAGCTGTATGCAAATCTGTAGATAATCGAGGCTGGACCATACAATCCAGTGACTGACATTATGAGCATCAATCCAACTGGATATGGTGACACACAGGACCAAGTAACTTATATTCACTAGGAACAAAGTTGCAGATGCCTGGGAGTTTGTTGGTTAAGATTTTAGTGACATGGTCTTGTGGAGGACAGACAATCAACCAAGTCAGGAGCGTGACCATCCTATCAATGGGTTGCTGAGGAACTTGATTCCTACCTGGAAGAATGTTGAATGACTTTGGGATTCTGTTAATTCAAAGCTGTGAAAGGAAATCTCCAATCACACAGGTTGTTTATTGGCTCGATGATTCAAATTAACATCTGGCAGATCCTGGCAGTGAACAGCACATCAAATTGTGGCACTTTTGACCATTGGGCTAGTCATGCTGAAGTCAGTCAGCCCTTGTCCTTTGTTGTGATCCTCTCGGTTAATGGTAAATGTTCTGTAAAACCCATCTTACTCTCACTCACACCAGACATTACATAGATATTAAACCTGTGTATGTGTGCTCGTTGTTTAACCCTGCAATCTGCAATATTCCAGGGACCGGTGAAGATTCTGGGGTAGAATAGGTCTTCAGCAAGCCATGCTTGCCGTAAAAGGCGACTATGCTTGTCGTAAAAGGCGACAAATGGGATCGGGTGGTCAGGCTCGCTGACTGGGTTGATGCATGTCATCGATCCCAATTGCGTGGATCGATGCTCATGATATCAATCACTGGATTGTCTGGTCCAGACTCAATTATTTCGGACCGCTGTCTTATAGGTGGAATATTGCTGAAGCGGCGTTAAACAACAAACAAACCAAACAAACCAATGATTGATATTATGAACAACCATCCATGCACATCAGGGTATGCTGACACGCCATTAACCAAGTCACAGAGTCTGTCCATCCGATCCATTAAGTCATAGCTTACGACCAGCCTACGTGGCTGGAGACTTATTCTCACCTGGAATCTCCAGGGCTGAGATATGCAACATTATAATTATGCTGAGTCGTTAACTATGAGAACCACAACAATTGCTTTGAAACTGATACAAGAACTATGAAGGAAACATTGATTATTGATGATTACAGATGAGACAAAGATTAATGCTATGTTATAATTTATTGATCATTATTTATCATCATGAGATGAGGTGATTTGGATGTAAATATGGACATGATAGAATGCAAGCTTTTGTATTATGATAATAAAACAGGTGTGAAAGGTTTTCTATAAAAAAAAACACCCTTTAAAAACATGGCCAATAGAAGGATGGTTGAACAGTATTATGAACATTTATAAAACTCCATATCTATACCATGTATACATGATAATAATCATGACACATAAAAAAACACAAACTTGCATGAATATATATATATACACACACATACATATTGTCCTAACTGTGTAAAATATATGTCAATACAAAACATTCAAATATAACACGTTCATTTTGGATGATACCAAAAAGAAGACTACACAAACATCAATATTTAATTTATAAATACAAACCACTGCAACAAGGGTAACATATGTACTATCAGTAACAAATGCACTTTCATAGTTTTGCTCTGTAACTTTGTAACATTTAAAAAAGCTAACATTCTGACCAGAGAACCTCACATCACACATGATCAGCCATGACATGTACAAGACACTTGACCCCTAATTAGATTCACAGGATCACATTTTAGATTCACATGATCCCTTGTTAGATTTACATAACCCCAAATTTGATTCACATACACCCCCTTTGGATTGGAATGATCTTTAGATTCACATAACCCCTAATAAGATTCACATAACCCCTAATTAGACTCACATAACACCTAAATAGATTCACATAATCCCAAATGAGATTCACATAACTCCTAATTGGATTCACATAACCCCTTATGAGATTCACATAACTCCTAATTGGATTCACATAACCCCTAATTAGACACACATAACCCCTAATTAAACTCACATAATCCCAAATGAGATTCACATAACCCTTAATTGGATTCACATAACTCCTAATTAGACTCACATAACCCCTAATTAGACTCACATAACCCCTAACTGGATTCACATAACCCCTAATTAGACTCATATAACCCCTAATAAGATTCACATAACCCCTAATGAGATTCACATAACCCCTAATAAGATTCACATAATCCCTAATTAGATTCACATAACCCCTTATTAGATTTACATAACCCCTAATTAGATTCACATAACCCCAAATTTGATTCACATAACCCAATGTTGGATTCACATAACCCCTAATTATAAGTGCCCTGAATATGATATTCGGATGTCATGATTCACATGGAGGTATCACAAGTTTACACCTGATCAAATGATACATGATACGCCCATCACTGTTGTTTCAAGTTTCAGTCTTGATTGAGTTTCAAAATGTAATATCTACAAAGTTTTGCAATCAGCTAGCCTGATGATTACTCATACCTAACCACCAACTGCAAAATGAAATGCCATATCTTATTTCATTACACTATTAAGACCAAATCTAACTGAACTGATCATTCAAGTTTTACACAAACTGATTGATAGCAACAACCTTGTCTGCCAGTCACATTGAACATTGAAAAGTTCCCCCTACAATGAGCACAATTAAATATTGTGACACCAGGCATGTAGTTTTCTAGACCTGGTCATAGGCTTATATTTGGTACAAGTCTGGTACATTTCTATCTGATCTGTCTTTCTGTATACAAGAATAGTTATTCAGCTATCAAAACAATACCATGGAAATAAGATTCAGAACTTTGTATTTCTTTGTCAGGTACACACCACTATGAACAGAGTCAAAATCAAACTTGTTGCCATGGAAACTGAAACAAAATATAAATTCTAAAAATCCCTAAATAGCAAAAGGCACCAGTTGACAACCTGGTCTTTTTGTGTGTAGTTTCATGAAAGAATACCTATTACTTCTAGTGATTTGGTCCGGACAAACACACCACTATGAACAAAGTAAAAGTAAAACTTGTTGCCGAAGAAACAGGAATTTTTCTTTTTTTTAAAATTCCTAAATAGCAAGAGGCACCACTTCAACCCCTCATTAATATATGTACCAAGTTTGGACGAAAAATGATGAATAGTTTATAAGTTCTGCTCCGGAAATGACACCTACCTCCGATTGAGCTTTGTCTAACTAGTTTCCATGGAACAGGGAAAAATAAAATTTTGAAAAATTCCTAAATAACAAAAGGCACCACTTCAGTCCTGGGTCAATACATGCACAAAGTATGGATAAAAAGTCTTTCAAGGTTTTCAAGTTGTGCTCCAGAAACAAAATCCAATCACATCCCCTTTTGAGACTGAGTCCAAATTGTTTCCATGGAAATTGAGAAAAATAAGTATGCAAAAAATCTGCATATAGCAAAAGTCACCACTTCAGGATCTACTTAATATATCTACCAAGTTTCGTTGAAAGACACTGAACGGTTTTTGAGTTGTGCTCCAGAAACGAAATCCATCACCCCCTTTGAGACTAAGTCCAAATTGTTTCCATGGAAATTGAGAAAAATAAGTATGCAAAAAATCTGCATATAGCAAAAGTCACCACTTCAGGATCTGCTTCATAAATCTACCAAGTTTTGTTGAAAGACACTGAACGGTTTTTGAGTTGTGCTCCAGAAATGAAATCCCTTGACACCTGTCATGACTTCAATACTGTGATATGTATTGATACATGTGGTTGGCGTATTGTGAAGAGTCCTTGTGTCCTTGAGTCCCGTAAACTGTGGTTATAACGAACTCAAAGGGACCCCTTATTTTAGTTCGTTATAACCGTAGTTCGTTATAGGCATATATACAGCATAACTACAGCAAAAAGTTGGGACAAAAAAGTAAGTTTGTTATATCCGTCAGTTCGTTATAAACATGTTTGTTATAAACGTAGTTTATTGTATATCATGTCAGTGATGCGAAATTAAAAAAAATATCTTCAACTGTTTTTGGGGAAATGAACTGTCAACATACAATCAACAAATGCTGAAACTTTGTGAGCACCATCTTCATTACTCAGAAAAGAAACTTGTTATCCAATTGGTCAGTCACCGTGTTGTAAAAACCAATACAGATCAGCCAGCAGGCGTATACGGTCATCATGAAATCATCATGTTTGAAGTGACATCACCAGCTTGTCATGTCATAATTGAAACTGTTCACACTTTGAGTCTCCACATTGAAATATTTCACCCAATATATATTTACAAATATTTTACCAAACAATCTTCGTAACTTGTGAACTCATGATGATGCATTGGTTCCATGTGTCACTAGTGGGGTGTATAGAATTGTAGCAGCCCAAGTTCATGTACATGGACCTTCTATCGTGGTGTACAAGCCCATTCACCTCATGAAATCCCTCACTCCAAACAAGTGACGCATGTAACTTGTTTGCCAGTGCAAGTTTGTTTGCTTATTTGTTGTTTAACCGCGCAATCAGCAATATTCCAGCTATATGAAGCGGTCTGTAAATAATCAAGTCTGGACCAGACAATTCAGTGATTGACATCATGAGTATCAGTCCACGCAATTGGGATCGATGACATGCATGAACCAAGCCAGCGAGCCTGACCACACGATCCCGTTAGTTGCCTCTCATGACAAGAATAGTCGCCTTTTATGGCAAGCATGGGTTGCTGAAGACCTATTCTACCCTGGATCTTCACGGGTTGCCAATGCAAGTGAGTTTCAAGACAGTGGCAAATCCAGAGGCTGATCCACCATTCTCAAAAGCAGGGTGCACTATACATGCTATACATACAATGTAGCTACCTGAGTCACAAACTAAGCAAAAGCTAATACATGGATTGAGACAGTAAAAATCCATGACATGTATAACTTTGGGCGTAAGATTATTATGACTTCAAACAGTCACAGTTTTCTTGCCTGTCATGGCTATTTGATGTTCACTCTGTTTAGCTGTATCATCAATAGCATCTCCTGACGTTCCCTGGTAATAAAGCATTGATCTTCGTGAGAGTTCCACTGATAGTGGGGAAATGAACATCCTTCTCCTTCCACAGCCAAACCTTATTACATGTAGTTGATGTTCCTGTCAGGATTGGCTCACAATGTTAGGTCTTCCAATTCAGTTCTTGACACATTCATCTTCTTGAGAGCTCGTCTAATGGTTAAAGGTGCACATCCTTATCTTTCTGCTTCTACAGCCAAGTCATGATGTTCCTGTCAGGATTGGCTCACAATGTAAGGTCGATAACATCGCCTGTCTTTCCCTGGTTCACTGACCAATTCATCTTCTTGAGAGCTCTACTAACGGTGGAAAGGTGCACATCCTTATCATTCTCCTTCAACAGCCAAGCCTTGATGTTCCTCAGAGTAATGGTTGGGTCTGCCTGCTTCAACTGCTTAATCAGCTGCATGTCCTTCAGAGTCAGCTTCTTGTTGTTCGTCACCTCCAGACCTTCCCATTCCCCTTCCGTCCTGGCATCCACCCCGGCTTGAAGCTGGTATCCTGAATATGCCTCATCCTCAACATCTTCTTCAAGGATGTAATCTGGTGACTCTGAATACGAATTACCTGACAAGTCGGATGATGTCCTGTATGTGAACCTGTCACTGTTGCTTGGCTGAACACATTCCTCAGAATAAGCAATTTGGGCCTCTGGACTTTCATCAAACTGAGATTCAACCCATGTGGAATCTTCCCCTTTATCATCTTGATACTCAGCAGAACCTCCTGCTTCTTGACTGTTTATATACACTAAATAGTTAGGTTCCATCTCTTCTTGAGTATGAACAATTTTCTTCAGAGCTCTGCAGACAGACGACACATGGACGTTGAGATTCCTCTCCTCGAGAAGCCTATACTTCATCTCAGTCAATGTGATACATGGGTTTTGTCTCTTTAAACATTCTAGAAAGTCCAAATCAGCAGGCTGCAGTTTACCATTTTTATGACCCATTTCATTCCTGGTTTCATAACCATAGAAGCTGCCCTGATCTGTCTCGCATTCATATACATCTGGTGAGGTATTATTGCTCAGAGTCACAAGTTCAGTGTCCTCGTCATACATTTCTGGTGACACATTATTGTTGACAGAAGTTTCAGGACCATGTTGATTAACCAATTCACATCCTGTTTGGACATTCTGGGATTTTGCATGACAAAACTTCTTTGAATATCTATTTTTACCATTTTCCATAACGGTGGGCGGACTGGCAGACAAATCTACAACCAACCTATCATGAAGTTTTCTTTTGGGGGGCATGAGCATTTTCCTAGGCAAATATCTAGTACCCAACTGTTCATTACAGACAGGCTGTGATTTTGACTGAGTAACTGCTGTTTGCTCAAAAACTTTTTCACCCATAATGACCACATTGTCATTGATGCCTCTTGAAGTCCATTTCCTCAAGCCAGAAGGCTTCGGCTGCATCATGTGCTGACCCTGCAAGGTCACAGGACTCTCTGCTCTTGAAGGTGAACCTAACATTGTGCTGTCATCCTTGTTCCTAGATGAATCTGCCCCATGTCCATTCTCATGGATATTATGATTGGGAGCCATTGCCGATATTTTTTTAGTGAGATTATGCAAGGAGATGCACAAGCCCCTTTCCTTTTTTAATCTTTCCCTGATTTCCTCACAGGTCAAATACGGTTTCCTACTCAGCAAATAGGTCAAGAACATTTCATCATGAGGTAAGAAGTTCTTATGAAATTGTTGTTTCCTGTCCTTCATCAAATCCACCTTAAATCTTGAATTGTCAGAATCTATGTCTCTCCCATGAGACCCACTCTCAGATGATGAGAGCCTTTCTTCCAAATGTTCATCTTGGCAAATGGAATCAGTGTTTCTTTGAGGAATTAGACCAGCCGCTTCATGAACAGAATTCTTCCTCTTTATTGCTCTTGACACAGTGGAGATGTGTACCTCTACACTTCTTTCGTTGCGGAGATGTTTTTTTATTTCTGAGAGTGTCAATGTCGGATTCTCTCTCTTTAATCTTTCAATAAAGCAGACATCCTCCTTGGTGAGTTTCTTTCTTATCTCTGGTGGATGAGGATGTATAGCATTTCTATTTCGATAACCTTCTCTAGTTTGTTCATTGCAAGGGTCCCAGGATGTGTTTTCTTCTTCAGCAATGTCTATCTCAACACAGTGACCCAAATCCATAGAAGAATTGGATTCTTGTGCCTTCCGTGAAGTAAATCTTGTCATCAAATCAACACCATCCTCCATCAACCTTGGATCACTGACTGTTGTCCTTGAAGCATCTATCCTTGAGACATATAGCACTGAGGCATCCATCCTTGAAGCATCTCCCTTTGAAGCTTGCACTGGTTGATGCCATTTAGATTTGCTGATTTTTTTTAAAGGTCTAATTTTAGATGGAATCAGGACAGAGGTACCAGTGTCACAAACCTCCTGGTCACGATGGCGGTTGTTATGGTCAGTGATATAGTTTTCAGTATCCTGATGAGGAGAGTCCATTGGTCCATCATCCTCTCTACTGAAATCCACAGGCACAGAGCAAGAAGGTTCATGAGGAGCTGCTGCATCATCTACAAATGCTTCCTGCTTAATCTCTGAACTGCCACAGGCCAGTACCATCTTCCTCATCAAATATTCACCTGTAGCTTCAGTAAGTTTCATGCCCAGGGGAAGACTTTTCTGTTTTCCAGAAACCGACAGAGATTCTGCATTATTTCTTTCTTCGATGGTTTGGAAGGCAACAGCTGCTCTTTCAGACTCCTGATCAGAAGTAGGTTCCTGCTTCACATGGACATCATTTAGTCTGGGTATCGAGGGATTAGGGTCATCTGTAGAGGATGTATTTGTTGTACCTTGGCTTTGTTCTTCAGGCCTGAAGGGTAAATAAACAGTTTTACCAAATTACCATATTCACCATGTTCAGTATTGTTCAGGTGTTCACTATAGTCTGGAAGGTAATTTAAGGTACCAACGTTTACTACAATATCTGAAAAACCATCGGACCTACTCCAGTCAAAGTTGGTATGAGATTATTGGATAACTGGATATTACATTTAAAGACAATCGGTGCACGAATACGGTGTTAGTGTTTGGCATCTCAACGTGCGTGATTCCCGTGCACACTTTCGAGTTGAGTTGATTGGTTCAACTGTGTCATATGGCCCTGTGACGCAGGGGTAGCATTATGCTGATGGCGGTTTCAATGAATGCTCGTTCCACCCGTGACGAACAGGTCTGGTTGGTGATGAAATATAGTGATAGCTAAATAGACAGATTTTTTATTCATGCACCGATTGTCTTTAAATGTAATATCCAGTTATGTATGACTGTTTAATAATCTCATACCAACTTTGACTGGAGTAGGTTCAATAGTTTTTCAGATATTGTAGTAAATGTCGGTACCTTAAATTACCTTCCAGACTATACTTACAAATGCAACATGGCACTTATCATCTCAAGTTGACAACGTATTGTAATGGAAATGTGTCTTTTCAATTTCAGACTTTATGTAAATCTTGGACATGGAGAAAGAATTTCCCAAGTCCTTATGTCTTTCTCATATACATTAAACATTTTAAAATAATTTTAGATAGTCTCCAAATCTACTCCTGCATACAATTCTAGTTAAATCCTAGATATTTTTCATATTTGTATACTTATCCTGCATTACTACCACACTGCCAACTAAAACCCAGTATCACAAAAGATCTGCTCAGATGACACAACTGTTTGATCCCAGCAGCTTTGTGGTCTAACATCATCACTTGACATACATTTGATGGCCCTAAGGACTTTGAATTAACATTTCAATTACTTACATCATGAATTTCATCATGTAAACCTTTCCACTTTTCATAAACATGATTACCTCTTATATACAAAGACATATTTCTTACCTATTTCTTTCTGAAGTCTTGATGCTTTCCTGTGGGTTCACCGCTGCAGACAGATCACTGCCACCTCGACCAGGTATAAACTCATCACATTCAGACAAAACTGATGCTCGCTGACCGAACACAACAGCGTAAGGATCCTGAAAAGCTGAAGGCCTCCTCGCCACATTCAATTTCAACATGATTTCTGGAAGCCAATCTGACCATTCTCTCTCATCATAACCTTCCTTTGCAATGAGACAAATGCTGTCCCATATAAAAGAAGCTACCTCATCTGATTTTGAGGAGTCAGTATTTTGAGTTTTAATCTTGAAGCCATCGAGTGCAAATGAAAGACTGTCACCTTTCCAGGAATTTGAAACTTCATCAAGGACCCTGACTATGTCTGGCTTATCAACACTGGAAAATATCTTTGGGGGACCAAAATAGCTTAAGAAATATTGCTTTAAATTTTTGGCTATTTCCCTTGAACTGTCATTCTTAAGAGGAAACAAAACACTGAAATTTGAAAACTGATCCTCAACATGACCGATGAAGTGAAATTCATTCGAAGGTTTTAGACTCATATCTATGATGTTGACAGACACATCTTGCAAGAAGGAAAACACAGTGTTGTTAATCTCTTTCATGGGCCTGACCGATGCCGCCATTGTGGAACCAGTCTGAAGATGAATGTCTGGAATGACATCACTTGTTGAATCTGCTTGACAGCAATCACATCTTCTTACAAATTCAGAAATATAATCTTTGGAAATGTCATGGTAGAGGTCAGAGACAGACTGAAGTGTCTGAGTGTAGTTGCCATGGTTTAATACATAGACATGAATATCTCGGACTTTTCCATAAATCTGATTCTCATGCAAGACCCTGACATAACCCTTGGACGTGCCCCCTTCCTTCGGCACCACAAGTACCTCGGTTTGGTCTTCATCGGGCAGCTGCAGCAGCTGGAAGCGATGGAACTGGATCCAACTCTTGAACTGATAGGAAGAGCTGGTGCCAAACTTCAAATAGCGGACAATTTTTTCATATTTGTTCTTTGATATAAGAAGCATATTTCTTCCATTCTGACATTTTGCCAAAACACTGTCAAGTTGCTTTCTGTGTGTGTTCATTCTTCTTTAACCTGAAACAATAAATAAATAGATTACAAATTATTTACAGTGGTAAGAACATTTTCTGTACCAATCTGCCGGTGATTTTTAGTAAAAGAAATATGCAATAATATAACTTCAAAGAATTTTGATTCAGTGATCTGATGAATTGCATCTGAAACTATTATTTTATCATAAATGATATATTACAATATCCAGTTATTTTGTTGCAACTTTTACAATATATATTCAAAACAATAATAACCATAAGCGTAGCACTTTTGATCAACTCTTTGCTCTTGCCAGGTATGTTTACATTTGGAACAAATTTCATTCTTGTTACAGCAAATGAATGAAAACAAAACGCAAATATCGTTATTACAACCGACAAAAGTAACCATTATCTGGGTATTTACAATTTCTGTGTGATGCCACACCCCACATTATAGTGCATGTATTGGTGATAGAAAACGTATGATGTCCGAAAAGCTATGATGCTGAAAGCTCTGATCGAAAACAGGACAATCCACAACGGTTGTCCGGTTTTCAATAACATTTTTTGTAGTGTTTTTTTAAAAATGTTTGATAATAATTGACTACTGTTTTAAAAAAACATGATTTTCCGCGTTTCTTCGGAGATTTCACATCCCTGGAAGGTTTTATGAAAAATATTAGGCAAAGGTGTGTATATATGTCAATATCCACATAAAGGAAAAATACCCCATACATCTGAAGCTATACAAAGAAACTTGTTCAATGTCTTTGAAACAATCTAATATTGTAAAATATATACAGCGTTTCAGGATATTATAACCCATGTTCAGCTCCCAACTGATCATGTAAGTTTGTTTCAGGTGTCTCATATAGGTGTCATGTCTCATTGGTCAGCTGAGATAGCACATGTGACACCTATTTTCATTATGTCCACGCTCTTTAAAATATCCAGTGAGGAAGATAACAATGAGAACTCTATCAACATATTATCGGCTAATCCTTTGAACAAAGTATGTTGTTTTTACACAGACACTTCAAGCCCAGATATGGATGTATTCCATATACTTACAATTGACAAATCCACTGTGCAAGATTACAGTAATTAATCAATCAACATATTATCAGTGTTTAATATACCCGTCTGACTGACAGTCCGAGATGTATTTTGCTGACGGACGGCCAGTTTTGAAAAGCTCCACAACTGATGGTCGCGATAAAAGCTACTAAGTTGACAATACACCAGTTTATTGTTATTTTCTGAGAACTATCATTAAACAGTACTGTTCCTATGTTTACTCTTTTGTTACTTTTGTTAGTTCGCCTAGAATATTCTGGACTGGCAACATGATGCCAGTCTGGATATCTTATACACTGGTATTATTTGTTAATCCTTTGATTGATGGTTTTTGCAACTTAACTGACAATTCCTCTCTTGCTGTGCTGCCACGTGCATATTACATAACATGTTATACATTCACCACATCAGACCTTTATTTATAACACAATCTTAGATTAAATAATTACCCCAGACACGAAAAATGCCAAATTGCTAAATATCTGTGACACCTTCAGAGGCAGCGGTGAACGTTATGAGGTTATTTTGCATAGTCTGTCAGGTAATCTGTCAGGCATCATCCAATCAAATGAGAGGATTCAAGAAGATTCCCCTCGCTGTCAACGAGGTCCTCCCTCCATCGTTGGAACAAAGCCCAGTTTGCTGGATCGGTGACGCTAATTTGCATTTGGTGATTACATTGATAACTAAAATGGCATCGGCTGGATGAGTGAGAGTTGGAGTGTTGTTTCCCTACAACCCGCTGGATGCCAGAGGGACATTATATGTCCCTACTGTTTTACCCTCACTTTGAAGTAGTATAAAATTCAAAATACATCACGCACACAGATACACTTCACAGTTTTGAATTATGCGGGAAAATCCCTGGTCTATGATATCATCCACTGGCATTCTAGCCCAAGCAAAATTACTGAAAATGACCTCTGAAAATTATGTACATCATAAATGTCGCCATCTTCTACACATAACTAAATCACCACAAATGGTGTTATTTATTGCATGTTTTGAAATCTAAATTTCGGATATTGACTTGGAGAAATGAATTTTAAAAATAGCATATTAGTGATCAAATCACCAATGATCATTCCAAAACGTCGATGATAACCCAAGAATCGTCCAGATGATTTGGAAAATATGCAAACACGAATGCTAAAGTGATCAATCCGCCATATTGGATACTGTTTACAAAATAACGTTTCACGTACATCGGTTTTGAGACGCCTATAACATCACACATAATTCAAACTCAGCTGTGATACACACATCCTTGAATTCCTCATACATTTTAGAATCAAATGACAAATGGTCTTTGTCACCAATGCAAAGTGTCTTGATGAAATCAAGCATTTATAAATTAGGTGTGAAAACAAACGCTGTGCTAAAAAAACTGCACTTGTTTGAAATGTAAACTAAGCAAAATTCAGATTTTACACAGTGTAGCATTTTCTCCTATTTTGAGCTATCCATTCGTTGATTCGTTGAATACATTGGCTCAACATTTTCAGAATATGCATGGGAAGAGAATCGTAGGAAGAATTAAGGAATTAAGATGAGATACATTGCAATGATTTGATATTTTCAACAGAAACTGTCCGTCCTGTGTGACACCATGACTGACGCAAAATCACGCTCAACGACAACAGTATTTATCGGAATTTCTGACTATTTCCGTTGGTTTCAATGAAAAATATAACAACAAGTAACAGTACACGGATTGTCAAAATGTTTCTGATTGCTGACATGTCACATTTATGTATATACGATCCCTGAATCAACGAAAGTCCCCTCGTAAAATCCAGCGTACTGTTGTCTGTGAACATGCCATTTTGTAAAAGTCGGTCACTGGTAGTGATGTCATACGTCAACATTGTTGTACATATTTGGCAATTTCTTTGAGGTGAAGGTCCTTGAACATGTTGTATGAAAGCACAGACGATCATTGTATCCTGCTGTTTACAGTTTCAGTTATGATGTAGATTTTGCATCTTTTATACATTTTTTCACACAATTAATTTCACTTTGGATATTTGTCAAGGTTCAAAATATCATACGTAGATATAGGCCACAACATGTATGAACCTTTGATAATCTCCTGTTTTTTAAACATTGTTTACATAATTGTGCTATAGACAGTATTATAAGTTCATATAAACAATCTCCATGAATAGCCATTTCATTTTATAACTAAAACTGAATGTATTACCTTAACAAAATGGATAATAATTTTCATTAAAATATATACACACATTTCTAGAAGAATTGTCTTGGTCTTGAATTGTTTTTTATGTCGTTTGATTTACAGAACAGTGATATCTAACGATTCGAAAGGTGCGCGTTAGTCGCAAACGTTCTTCGAATTATTCCTCTTGTTTTGCATTATATAATCATTGCGTTCATCCTTTTTAAATATTGAGTTCACAAGATATTATACTGTTAACTTTATTTCTCCAAGAATTGTAAAAAGTATAAAAATATAACCCGTGCCATGAACCCCTTTGCTGGGACCTTATACGATTATCCTGATAACTGTATACAAATAGAGCTTTCTTCGCATCTTTTATTTTATAATTCTGAGACAAGATGAAGAGAAATATTCACATAATAATGAAGAAATACATGTCCAATATTGAATAAAATAATTTTGGTTTTGAAATATTCTTTTGAGTATTTGATTACGTAAACTTGATGCCAAACAGGTGCGTGTCTTGTCCAAATACGATACAGGGTAAACTATCTGTTCCAGACATTATTTAAATGGTAAAGGCAGTCATTTTATGTTGTAAGGAAAAAGCGTCAAATTCTGTTTTACATATTCCAAAGTATATAAAAATATTTCCATGCCATGAACAAAAATTAGGGGAAATATATATTAATAAAAATACCAGTGTCATCTTTCTCCGACATTGTCAATGACATAAAACCAGCCATGACGTCAAATAGTATGGTGTCATTTTTCATTACAATTAAAGACAAGGCTAGTGCTCCATTAAAAATCATGCAACATTTGTCAAATATTCACTTGCACAATCACAAGTATGTTGGAATCTAAGGACTAATTTATAGGTTAGAAAGGGACATTAGTTTTGCTGTTACTTCTTTTTTTATGAAGTACAATTTCATCATTTCTTATGGTTTTTTTTATACCTAAACGTATACATTTTCAATATCGATATTTGTGTTAGGTTCCTCGTAAACTAAACACCACAAAAATATATTGTCCATACCCACAGCTAATTCTCACCAAGTGACGTGAGTTACAATAAACTAGCGCTAAGCGATAGTGGTGTTATGCCCCCTGTTCTTTGTACTGTGTAACCTCTCTGTCGCCTTTTGACGTCATAGAGGAAAATCAGTTTTCGTTATTTATGGCAGGCTATTTTTTGCATTGAATGTATGTTGTTATACATACGCATATTATTACTCCATTTGATATATATTTATGTTGTTCTGATATTAGGCAGTGTTTTGTTCGCTCACAGTTTAAAAATATTGTTGCACAATACTTTTATCGGTGTACAATAAAAAGCGGAGAAAGTTTCTGTTTTTCTCAGACAACACTTGTCAGTTTCTTTTTTTTCAAACTGGTTTAATATTTACAGTTAAATTTACATCATCAGATAGGAAATTTAATATTCTACATCTCTGCGTAATTTTACAGCCGGAGGTAGATCCAGTGCCGTGTGGCCGCAATTCTCGCACACCTTCACTTTTCCGATCTAAGGAAAATGTGCGTCAGAAAAAAACCTCGCATTCCAGCGGGTAAGTGGGCTTATTTTACAAAGTCCACGAATGGTCAGTACGGAATGAATATCACAAATTGATTTCGCAATAACAATAATGATAATATGACATCCAAGCGTTTTCTGTCATTATTTCATGAAATTATGTGGACAAACGCTTGGTCAGGATCAACACCGGAAATCCCCCGGAAATGACTTGTCGGATAAGCGCCATTTTTAATTTTAATCAAGGTCTACTTCAGTCTCTGTTTTGATTTACATCCGCAGCTGATCCGTAGATTACCGCCCCTCCCACAAAACGAGACCGGTGCAGTGCATAAAACGTATATTGTAAAAATTACTGAAGCTAACCTGATAGAAATTTACCTTATGGTCAGGAACATGTGATTGATAATATCAGAATGTCAGGTGGTACAACAACATTTCTGAACTTGGAACACTGATCTTCCTGATTTGTTTACAGATCTTATCAACAGGAAGTGTGCAGACGGAAGTGCTAGTTGTGTAAAAGTAGAAACGACACAGCAATGAATACGGATTTAAATATTGCATTTGCTGCCGACACTTCAGATTTTTTTTATTATCTTATGTCGTTAATAACTGTTATCAATATCAGTGAGTGAGGAGCCGTTTGGAAATAATAACAGTTTTTAAAAACATAGATCTAAAGCAGATCTACACACTTAAAGAATCCTTTGGTGAGTTCAGATACCATAAAATATAATATTGTCTTAGCGTAGCATCACAATCACACCATAGCCAGGTTGTCTTAGCGTAGCATCACAATCACACCATATCCAGGTTGTCTTAGTGTAGCATCACAATCACACCATAGCCAGGTTGTCTTAGCATAGCATCACAATCACACCATAGCCAGGTTGTCTTAGCGTAGCATCACAATCACACCATGGCCAGGTTGTCTTAGTCTAGCATCACAATCACACCATATCCAGGTTGTCTTAGCATAGCATCACAATCACACCATAGCCAGGTTGTCTTAGTGTAGCATCACAATCACACCATATCCAGGTTGTCTTAGTGTAGCATCACAATCACACCATATCCAGGTTGTCTTAGTGTAGCATCACAATCACACCATATCCAGGTTGTCTGAGTGTAGCATCACAATCACACCATAGCCAGGTTGTCTTAGTGTAGCATCACAATCACACCATAGCCAGGTTGTCTTAGCGTAGCATCACAATCACACCATGGCGAGGTTGTCTTAGCGTAGCATCACAATCACACCATATCCAGGTTGTCTTAGTGTAGCATCACAATCACACCATATCCAGGTTGTCTTAGCGTAGCATCACAATCACCATAGCCATGCAGGTTGTCTGAGTGTAGCATCACAATCACACCATGGCCAGGTTGTCTTAGTCTAGCATCACAATCACACCATATCCAGGTTGTCTTAGCATAGCATCACAATCACACCATAGCCAGGTTGTCTTAGTGTAGCATCACAATCACACCATATCCAGGTTGTCTGAGTGTAGCATCACAATCACACCATAGCCAGGTTGTCTGAGTGTAGCATCACAATCACACCATAGCCAGGTTGTCTTAGCGTAGCATCACAATCACACCATAGCCAGGTTGTCTTAGTGTAGCATCACAATCACACCATAGCCAGGTTGTCTTAGTGTAGCATCACAATCACACCATAGCCAGGTTGTCTTAGCGTAGCATCACAATCACACCATAGCCAGGTTGTCTTAGCGTAGCATCACAATCACACCATAGCCAGGTTGTCTTAGCGTAGCATCACAATCACACCATGGCCAGGTTGTCTTAGTGTAGCATCACAATCACACCATAGCCAGGTTGTCTTAGCGTAGCATCACAATCACCATAGCCAAGTTGTCTTAGTGTAGCATCACAATCACACCATAGCCAGGTTGTCTGAGTGTAGCATCACAATCACACCATAGCCAGGTTGTCTGAGTGTAGCATCACAATCACACCATATCCAGGTTGTCTTAGCGTAGCATCACAATCACACCATATCCAGGTTGTCTTAGCGTAGCATCACAATCACACCATATCCAGGTTGTCTTAGTGTAGCATCACAATCACAGCCAGGTTGTCTTAGCGTAGCATCACAATCACACCATGGCCAGGTTGTCTTAGTGTAGCATCACAATCACAATCACACCATAGCCAGGTTGTCTGAGTGTAGCATCACAATCACACCATAGCCAGGTTGTCTTAGCGTAGCATCACAATCACACCATAGCCAGGTTGTCTGAGTGTAGCATCACAATCACACCATATCCAGGTTGTCTTAGCGTAGCATCACAATCACCATAGCCAGGTTGTCTTAGCGTAGCATCACAATCACACCATAGCCAGGTTGTCTTAGCGTAGCATCACAATCACACCATAGCCAGGTTGTCTGAGTGTAGCATCACAATCACACCATAGCCAGGTTGTCTTAGCGTAGCATCACAATCACACCATAGCCAGGTTGTCTTAGTGTAGCATCACAATCACACCATAGCCAGGTTGTCTTAGTGTAGCATCACAATCACAATCACACCATAGCCAGGTTGTCTGAGTGTAGCATCACAATCACACCATAGCCAAGTTGTCTTAGCGTAGCATCACAATCACAATCACACCATAGCCAGGTTGTTTAGTGTAGCATCACAATCATACCATATCCAGGTTGTCTTAGCGTAGCATCACAATCACAATCACACCATAGCCAGGTTATCTTAGTGTAACATCAAAATCACACCATAGCCATAGCCTGGCTGTTTTAGTATAGTATAAAAACAGGTAAGTAAACATTTTGACCGTGATTATGGGAACGTCTCGGACTTTTGGACGAACAAAGGAATTATCTTGTATTACTTTCAAACACTCAAAACTGACAAGTCAGTTCGCTGAGAACACTACAATACTTCCATGTCGGATAAGAATCGGCGGTTGAACGTTTAGGGCTGAGGGGTATGTATGATCCACTGTTTGTTGTTATTAACGTTCATCATGGTAAACACTTTAACGTTAACTTGTCATCAATATTGACTCTTCATTCTGCTGAGCCAGCACTTGCGTCAGGGTAACCGACAAAGGGCGTGTCGTTTACGTCAGTTGTAAATCTCATGTGTAAATATGTCAAACATATTTGAGTGTGTTGTCTTAATTGAGTCAGTACGTGTGTGTGTCACTTTGGACAGTATTTCAGTGGCAGGAAAGGTACAGGTCTTTATCACTTTGGTGAAACCAACGATCATGAGTATGGTGTTGAGAAAGGAAGGAACATATCTGACATGTTAAAAAATTTGTTAAAGAGGATTCTGATGCTCTAATGTACTAAAAAAAACCCGACCCTCCCCTAATACGTGTCATATTTTGGACGACCCTCCCCATGTCCTTGTAATGTTTTCGCGACCTTCCGTGAAAAGACAAAATTCAAAAGCACTGTACATTTTATTATTAAATCTATATTTTTTTCTTGACCCTCCCTTGATTCCCTCTGAACCACCGCCCCTATAATAAATGACCGGTCCCTAAATAGTGTAAATTTAAATTTTCTGTAGTATAGAAATGGTACATTACATCCTACATCCTAAGAGGTGACCAACAGGATCGGGTGGTCAGGCTCGCTGACTAGGTTGATGCATGTTATCGTACCCCATTTGCGTAGATCGATGTTCAAGATGTCTATCACTGGATTGGCTACCCCGGAATCTGCGGCGCTAGGATAAACCGTGACCCACGCAAGGCAAGAGGAACTGTCGTGTTTGGCCATGATCTTAGATTTGACCAAACATGCTGATTTCAACACAATTAAAACTGAACAAAAACAATAGTGTAGCAAATACTGCTTTTTATTAGAATATAAAAATAAACATAAAAACAGAAAATATAATATCTCAAGGAATGATAAAAAAGACGACAAAACGTGTACAAAAGATGATTGAGCAAACGTGACTGGCAAACTGTCTGATCGATGTTGAGGAAAAAGGTTCTCGTCAATACTCGGTCTGATGGCGACACGCGTCTGAACAATAATATTCAGGACAGTAACCACGTCGACAGTTGGCAAGACACCAGACAGTGATTCTTGGGTTCCCTTCCCAAGGCCCCGTGGCCTTACAGTCGCCGCTGTTTTCATCGCTATCGTCCGCTGTTGTGCTGTCGGCAACGCTAGTGGTGGTCTTAGACGTCGCAGCTGATGTTGGGGATGCAGTGACTGTTGTCGTTCCGGTGGAGGTAGTAGTGGTATTGGCCGCTGCTGTGATATTTCGAGCTTCAGATGTCGTCTGCTCGACGGGTTTCGTGGCCACGTGACACGGTGACGTTGCACTGTGGACGTTGAATGTGGAGGTTGGCGATTTCGTCTGGTCTTCGGAGTCTGCAGAGATTGCGACATCCGCGCAGCCATAGAACTGTTCCTGTGGCCCGCAACCCACGCAACAAGTTGGGCCATCACATCCCCAGGAGTTACCTGGAATCAAATGAGTCAATGAAGTAACTATCACCAAGGCATTGTACTCTCAACACCCCGTAATAAGTACGAGGCATGTGCAATGTAAACTGCTGGGCCAATTGAAAATTTGAAAATTGGATTTGACCAAAAAATAACAAACGTTCTCAAAACTTTTCTAGCCTGAAAACAGTCACAGAAACAGCAAACGTAAGGTTCAAACACACAACTATGATACCCGTATCAAATACATTATCATCAAAGAACAATTTGTTGTTGGTTTAATTTCTAGCCACCATCAAACATGGGTGTTTACTTTCTTTTGCCCGATGCTTAACATTGTCCGATGCGATGTTCGTTTGACGCTTAAAGCCGCAATCAGCATTCCAACCATATGACAGCGGCCTGTAATTCGTCTGGTCCAGACAAACCAGTGATTGATATTATGAGCAACGTCCCACGCCATCGGGGAACGATGGCAGGCAATCAACCAAATCACCGAGCCTGACAACCCGTACATTCATGCATTCACGACAAACATTGGATGCTGAAAACTTATCATATCCCGGCATCCCCACGAGAATACGAGGCCAGTGAGACGGGAGTGATATAAGGTATGTATTACGATAAAATTCACGGGGAACGAAGGCTGTTACGCCACAGAAAGAACTATTCCGACGTTGTGTATTGTTGTTAATGCTGTCAACCAGACTAGAACATGTACAAACCGTCGAGAGATGTAGCTGGATTAATAGTGACTGCGATGTAAAACAACATTCATTTACTCTTAGTGTTTCCTGAAAAAACTGAGCCGCTAGAATCTGTTATGCTAAACACTAAATGCTGACAAACTGTTCGTGTGGGTAGTGACCACATACCGGTATATGGTCTCTGGTGTGGGAGATGAAGTCCCTTGAATTACAATATATATGTAACCCTCTTTACAAGATTGGAAAGTCTAAAAATGGGTGTATGTACATTTATGACGATGCATGATAGTACCTGTATTGTATCTCCACTGAAGGACACACTGGGAGCAAGTGACATTCGCCGGAAGTACGACAGCCATTGAGTATATTCCCCGACATGCAGTAGTGACACTGAAGCGGTCACTTCCGTCTGTGTGCCTGAGGAGATGTCTGTCCAAACATTCCTGTTTAACTGGAGTCTGCGGGCTATTGTGGGGGCACAAGCGGAACTGGAAGTACCCTACCAAATGAAAGAAATATGCTTTTAATGTTACCCAGAAAAACATGCCATAACAGACTGATAATATATGCCAAGAAAGCTAAAAAAATCTAGGAGATACTGTAGAAATCTGATATACTACACCAGTTACGTGGTATATGTGATTGAGAATTTACATGTGAAAATGACGTTAAAGAACCTTGAATGAGATTGTTATTACATTCTCTACTTGTACTGTGACTATATTTGTATTGCCCATTGTATTTCGTAGAAAGGCTGGCCACAGGCAGCCAATGTTAAACTTACCCAAATGATTGGCTGTAAGATCCACGTTAATGGTGATTGTCTCCCCTGGTTTGTACTTCCGGGCAATGATTCCATTGGCGTATTTCCCCCCAGCCTCGTTTTCGCGTTTTCCGTCCCAGGGATCACCACAAACGCCACACTTCCCGCCGTTCACATCCCATTGTCTCTGAAAACAGTACAACCATGACATATACAGATGTATGTTTTCATGAAAGTCTCGGGTGTTTTAAGATGAGTGTAATTGTAATATTCCAGGTAGTCTACATAAGAAAATCTCGTTAGTGCCGAATACCTGTTATACAGACTCCCTAAATAGAAATAATAACCTATTGGATAGAACCGTATCGTGCTCACTTCTGTGATTTTTAAGTGAAAATGAAAGTGGCTATACTTCAATAGCATTTGAGGTACTAATGACTGATCAGACTACATGTTCCAAAAGTGTCAAAATGTCATTTCAGTTTTGGTCTCATTTCCAGACAACATCTTTGGTTTCATGCTGTGTATGTTTGCTACGAATGTGTTGGGGGTTTTAAGTGAAGGAGTAAGTCGGGTTTAACGCCGATTCGACCGCGGGGGCGGTCGGGTAGCCTAGTGGTTTAAGCGTTCGCTCGTCACGCCTAAGACCCGGGTTCGATTCCCGACATGGGTACAATGTGTGAATCCCATTTCTGGTGTCCCCCGCCGTGATATTGCTGGAATATTGCTAAAAGCGGCGTAAAACCATACTCACTCACTATATCAGAGCGTGTCAAGACCGAGGTATTGTGCTGACAAAGCAATGATCAATCTAAGATTGGAACCCACTATCAGGATCCTGGCACGCATAAGGGACTCAACTCTTCACAGCGATTTGCGGCGCCTCAGATTACACAACGATTGTGGAGCATGTAAAGGGGACCATCCCATTCATATGCTGGACTTTCAGAAATAGTTCTCATTCAGTTTGTCCAAGACGGTAAGTTGACGTTTCTGCAGAGTTACATTTCTAAATAGACCCAAGATTAAATATAACAAACCTAAAGATATGTTGGTTTGTTGGTTGTTTAACGCCGCATTCAGCAATATTCCAGCTATTTGACGGCGGTCTGTAAATAATCGAGCCTGGACCAGACAATCAAGTGATTGATGAGCATCGATCCACGCAATTGGGATCGATGACATGCATCAACGAAGTCAGCGAGCCTGACCACCCGATCCTCGATATATATATAAACAAGTGATTTCGTCAGGTGTATAGATATTAAATATAGAAAAAACAGAGTCCTGATATAAATACACACACACACACACACACACACACACACACACACACACACACACACACACATTTACGGTACATTTGACATCTAGCTCACCTGAAATCCTCCGCAGTAGAGCTCGTGATCGTTGTAGTTGGTGGGGTTGTCAAAGCCGTACCGCCACATACTGGAGCGGGAGGGGGGTTCCACCAGACGCCCGTGCCCTTGAGCGTCGGGGAGGGCCATCAGACAAACGCAGACGACCAGAGTGAAGAGAGTGGGACGCATTATGAGATGTCGTCTGCCGCAGTGAAGCTGTCGTCTGGGTTACGAGAAACCGTTTCTTTCAGCGTGCCTTGAAACTGGATAATTCTCCTCAGGACACGTAGAGATATTGTGATCCGGACTGGATATGGGTTCCATATATACCCCGAACCGACGCGCCCAGATCGTATCAATTTCCAAAATTGCATCGAGATAAACAATGTCAATGATTTCTATTTTTCCGGAATTGTGACTCACGTGACGTCACAGGTTCGAACTCGAGAGCGCGTACACACCTCCCCTCACCCGATACGGCAATCCAGATAGGTAACGCTCTCCGTCCAATAAACCAGATATGTTTGTCGAGTCACGGACCTGCCACAGCTCGAGGATCATACTTCAACTCCTAGCAATACGGGGGCCCTTTGGAACGTGACTCGAGCAGGGCTCGTTCGGTAATCGCGTGGTGATATGATTTCTTAGCCTCGTGTTATGCAGAAAGATCGTATCTGGTACACAGTTGTGTTCAGACGATACCGAATCTCTCTTTGTGCATGGGAAATCACGTCTGCTCTCTAAATAACTTTTTTTGTTCAACAATAACTGTGCCTTTAATCACGTAAACAGAAATGACATTGGTTGTCATCTGTTAATCCTGAAACTAAATACTGATTCTATGGACTCAAGTCTAAGACGACAGGATATGGTAATGAATGATAGAAGATTTATTGCACTTATACATTAAGACTGGGAAACCAACTTCAGTAAACTACGTTTATAACGAACACGCTTATAACGAACTGACTGATATAACAACCTTATTTTCTAGTCCCGACCATTTGTTGCATAAATGCTGTATATTTGCCTTTAACGAACTGCGGTTATATCGAACTAAAACTAGTTATTTGTGTGCCTTCGAGTTCGTTATAACCGTAGTTAACCGTACATAACATTGCATTCTAGACACAATTCGACGACACTTTGTTTTTAATAATCCACTTATATAACGGATTGTTCAAGGTGAGAACTCGGCCCTCTTTTGACATATATATCCCGGGTGCAAGATTTGTACTAAATCAGTGCGAGGTAAGCGGAAGAGCACTCGGACTGACAATGTCATGGGTATCTGACGTGAATGCTTATTTCATTTGTAGCACAGTAAAAGGTAAAATATCTATGAATAAAAGTAGGTTACAATGTACCCTCCCTTGTTTATGGGTGATAAAACCCAAGCCTATGAAATTGGAGAAGTGTAGATGCATATCTGTTGTCGCGAAGGACGGTCCCAGTTCATCATCGGGATGCGTACTATACTCGCACGTTACACCTTCCCATCTATGCATCATCATTGACGTCGTCCTCACCATCATTCCAGGCTAACGTCGACGGTCACTACGAACTAAGTTTAAATGAAGTCAGTATAACCCCAGCTGAAAGTACATGAAGTGATGTTTTACTTTATATATTTATTCATCTATTGTAGAATTTATTATTTATAATTATAGAACGTCACGCCTCTCCGATGTTGCCTGAAATATAAGTAGTAATAATTACACTATGTTAAAATGGTGTGTGTAATTAAATTGTAATGTATGTGAAGCGCCCCCTTCGCATCCACCCCCACACAAACGACCGTTCTCCCTCTTTCTGATTCTCTCTCTCTCTCTCTCTCTCTCTCTCGCTCTCCCTCCCTCTCTTCTACTGACCGTCTAACTCTCTCTCTCTCTCTCTGTGTCTCTATATGTGTGCCGTTCGCTCTGAATCGGGCATCGAAAGGAGTGAAAGAGGGGAGAGTGAATTGAAAGCGGAGAGTCAGGAGAGAATGAGGGGAGAGTGGAATGGAGTGAAAGAGGGAAGAGGATCAGGAGAGAAAGAAGGGAGGTAGTCAGAAGAGAAAGCGGGCAGAGAGTCAGAAGGAGAGAAAGAGGGGAAAGAGTCGGGTGGCGTGAATGAGGGAGAGAACCAGGTGCGAAGAAGGGGGAGGTCCAGGAGCGAAGGGGGGAGAGTCTGACGGAAAGAAAGAGAGCAGAGAGTCAGACGGGGAGAACGGCGGGAAGAGAGAAAGAGGGTCAGAATCGGAGGGAAAGAGGTGAGAGAGTCAGGAGCGAAGAGGGGAGAGAGTCAGGAGCGAAGAGGGGAGTCAGACCGAGGAGAGAGAGTCAGACGGGGAGAAAGACGTGTGGAGAGAAATACGAGAGAGTCAGGAGAGAAAGAGGGGTTAGTCAGGAGAGAAAGAGAGCAGAGAGTCAGACGGGGAGAAAGACGGGAGGAGAGAAAGAGGGGAGAGAGGCGGGAGCGAAGAGGGGAGAGAGTCAAAAGGATGGAATGAGGAGAAAGATTCGGAAGGAGTGAAAGATGGGAGTCAGGAGGAGAGAAAGAGAGCAGGGAGTCAGACGGAGAGAGTCAGGAGAGAAAGAGGTGATAGATTGGAGAGAGTCAGGAGAGAAAGAGGGAGTAAGTCAGACGGGGAGAAAGGGAAAGCATACAGAGAAGAGAAAGGAGAGGGTGTCTGTGGGGGGTGGGGGTGTTGGGGGCGAATGTAATCACCAACAGCAGTGCTTCAGGTACACTGTCATCGTGACTGGCCGGTTCAATGAGAAGTGTGGCCTGACGCCCGATTACACTTAATGGGATATCTGTCTTCACGTCTTGCGGTCAGGCCTTGATCGGGATTAAGGTATGTCGCACATTGTTTGTCAAGAGAGGAAATAAAGACTTTAGCCTTTGTTGACAATTACTGGTCCTCAAACGTTTCCACACGAGATAAGCAACACGAGTTAAAATGCAGGTGTGTTTTACTGAGCATTTAATCACACCGGCTTTGTCACGAATCAGGGTCGGTCGGGTAGCCTAGTGGTGAAAGCGTTCGCTCGTCACGCCGAAGACCCGGGTTCCATTCCCGACATGGGTACAATGTGTGAAGACCATTTCTTGTGTCCCCTGCCGTATTATTGCTGGAAAATTTCTAAAAGCGGCGTAAAATCATACTCACTCACGAATCTACTTCCTAAAATTATACATTCAGATAAACAATAAAACTGTTTCACAATGCTGATGCACACCCAAGTGAATCATTGAATCAAAATATGTCGCAGTTACGGAAATAAAGGTTTTGAATAACTTTGGGAACATACGTTCTATCCATCCCCCGTCATTGTTCTTTCTTGAATATATATCTATATATGTTCATTCAAGAACACATCGATTTATCCGTATTTCGAGACAAGCGGAGAGTCGATATTGGATCACAGTGCTGACTCTGCCGATATTGTTAAGTTACATTTTGCTTCGGTATATTTCGAATAGGTTTATAACCATATTTCATTTCAGTGTTCTTATGGGCATCTATTTCAATTTAAGTGAGTGAGTGAGTGAGTGAGTTGGGTTCAACGCCGCTTTTAACAGTATTCCAGTTATATCACGGCTTGTCAGCTTAATGTGGGAGGAAAGCCCAAAGTGATACAGGTCTCGGACGTTTACCACTTCGGTGAAACCCACGAGCACGGGTATGGTGCTGACAAACCTAGAAACATAATAGGGCCGAACCGGGATTCGAACACACAAACATAGATTTCTGGCGTGCCCAATGGACGCAACTCTGCACAGCGAATCGCGGCGCCTTAGACGACTGGGCCACCCATGCCCCCTTCAATTTGAGAGATTCCATGCAAAATGCATTAAGAAGAAAGAAACGTTCAATGCTTCTTGGTTAGGTAGAGCTTATGACGTCAATAATCATGAAATGTGTCAGTTGCGCATTTTACGTTTGACAACTATTTAGTTGATGTGTGTTACAGGTTATAACTAAGCATTCGCGGTTACCGGGGCACAGTACGCCTCCAGAACCTATACTTCCACGAGTGAAGATCGGGTTGTTTAATGTGTGACCTCGTGTTACAGTTCCCCGACGGCGAGTATCATTGCTCATGCTGTCAAGCACTGCTTTGTCCGACCCAGCACAACATTCACTCACTGATATCACGTACAGTCTAGCAACACACAATATAACGTTGTGCATTTGTTCGCGGTAAATAGCGTATACACCAAATCAGTGGGATTAATCTGGCGGTTTCGGTTAGAACAAAATCGTAAATACGAACTAATTTCCGGAGGATCGAATCATTGGTATATGGTAATTTGTAATAACTATACACACGTTCTTAACAGGAATCGTCCGGAATGTCAAGTTTCCGGATAAACAGGGTTTTCGATTTGTCAGGTTCCTGGACGAACAGGGTTTCACTGAATATACCAGTCTGTGTACGTGTATACGTTAACAACAGTGGTCAAGTTGTCTTGTTATTGATATTGTAATCCATGCTTCTAAATACACGGGTTGGGCGTCTTAAAGATGAGCCAGTCTAGGTCATACGTGACGTCAGTCGGCATTTCAAGCATAACTTGTCTCTCCAGATTGTATTATTAAGTTCAATTTAAGTCAATGAGTGTCAGTTAGAATTTATACAAATAAGAGAGAATTTATGGATGTCAACTTCTTTCTTGGGGAACATCCATCTGATGAAGGAGTACATACTCCGAAACGTTGTGTTTCTCAAAGAAGTTGCCCTCCATAAATTCTCTCTCTGAAGTTCAATATACTAATGATGTTAATTCGTGTATTATTAAGACATCTTTTTTGTTACACACAGGGTACTGCCTTGGGTACATCCAGACTGAGTATTTGCTTTGAATAGAGTATCTCACAGAACAAAGGTATTAACTTTCACTCCGTTTATTCTAGAACGTTTATTGTTATCGTGCCAGGTCGGGGAGGTGTTGGGGCACACCAGGAACAGGCTCTAAACAGACAGTACTCGCTCACACACAGACAATGTGCCAGCTTCACACACAGCACTATCTGGACTGGAAATAGCCGTGGACCATTGTCTCCCTCAAAATTACGAGATAACGCGTCCCCATGTATACGCACCATAAATATGTTACAGTCCAATGGGTTATGTGATCACATACCCTGTTTCTGCTTGTCGCAATTCGAGAGCATAACGCGCTACGTGCGTTTTGTGGCATTGCCACACTTCCACCCAGTGCAGATTCTGAGAAAAGCACTGAAAGAAATGAAAGTATATTGATGCACAAGGTGTCATGTCGAATACAGGCATTACCTGTAGACGTGAGAGTGTTCTTCTCCATTGTCGCACTCTATTGAGATTGGGAATGACGCCGGAAGAACAATGACAGTTAGGTCACATGGGTGAGCATGCGTACAATCTGATACGGAGGGATCGTTTTCAAGTCAAGTTCAGTGCGTGCTTCTCAATGATGAAGTGGGCAATTACCACACATCGACAGGAAAAGGGGGATACTTACTGTGACGATAATAACCTATGGATGAGTAATGATAATTATACACATCAAGATTATTACACGATAAACCAGTAGGTGGAGAGCGCATGATGACATACACACAAGTCGATTCACATCAGATATAAGACCCGTGAAGACCCGGGGTAGAATAGATCTTCAGCAACCCATGCTTGCCGTAAAAGGCGACTATGCTTGTCGTAAAAGGCGACTAACGGGATCGGTTGGTCAGGCTCGCTGA